GGCCTTATATATATACGTAAATATTTACATTTGACATCTGATTCATTATCAGAACGTTGTCTCTGCACGTTAACTTTCATTGTCGCGGGCCTCCACACGATGAACTTTTTTCTTCTCTTCCGCTGTACTTGGATGTGTGGCTTTTCCCTCTGAACTCCGTTTCTCCATCCTTGTATTTTCTCTCTTTGACACAGTCATTCTTGGATTTGCTTTTGAATGTGCAACCAATGTGGACTTTCTTACCACGCTGATAGCAGTTTCTCTCCTTATACCAGCAGTCATCATCAGTGTGATTTGGTTTACCGCACTGTCTGCGTTTCAGGAAGAGTTTCAGGAAGAACAGCAGTTACTTGAGCGACTCAACTCATCAGACTCAGTCAACAGGCACTTTTGAACAGTTTCAGTTCCCAGACAAACCTGTCCGGAGTGCTTCCTCCAAATAGCCACAAAACTTACAGTGTTCAAAACATAGACTGTAAATATTAATGGACGTAGTCCCACCTCCGCTGTTGAAACGATTGTGCCGTCACTTACAAAATGGCTGCAAGGCAGGAACATTTTGAAAAAAACGCATTTGGGCATATGTCGGCACAAGCCCCATTCATGTAACAGGTGCCTTCAAAGATCCGCAGAGTCTAAATTAGACTGGTCCGACAAAATATACTCCACTAAGCATTGACACACATCTGGAGCTGACTTTTGGATCATCCTCTAAAGTCGTTTTCAAGAGGTAAGAAGACACTTACATTAGCATTGAAAAAATCTTATTCTGGGTTCACCCCCGTCGGCCCAGGGTGGTGTCAAAGTAATCCATATGAATCTTCTTTAATACTTGTCATCAGGGCTGGACTGGCCATCGGGCCGATGCCCATTTGGGCCGGCCTGTCTGCCTCATACAAAAGACATGTTTGTGAAAAGTGTAAATCAGTTGAGAATTGTTCGAGGGGGCGCGCGTGTCTGCGAGGCACCTGCTCTATGTACTCGGACGGGATTCCGCCACCTCAGCGGCCGCAGTGTTCCAGGGCAGCTGCGGCCACTTTGTAATGAGTGGTTCCTGCGTCCAGGAGCGGCTGTGAGCATCCAGCCGCTCACAGCCGCTCCACCGTGTCGCAGCTGCAGCCGCAACGTGGCCATGTACCATAAACGCGCACAGGACCATTCTAATAATAATAATAATGCATCGGTTTTATATAGCGCTTTTTTGGACACTCAAAGACGCTTCACATGTGTCATTATTCATTCACTCCATACACGGTGGTGATAAACTACAACTGTAGCCACAGCTGCCCTGGGGCACACTGACAGAAGCGAGGCAACCAGTATGTGCCATCGGCCCCTCCGACCACCACCAACCATTCACACACACCAGACTCATTCTAGGCAATGGGGGTGAAGTGTCTTGCCTAAGGACACAACGGCAGTTTGGCACTTTACAGCCGCAGCCGCCCCACTGTGCCACCATTCTCTGCTTGTTGTGTGCGTGTCTTTGCCTAATCTGTGGACCCAATAAATACACCGCTGCAGGAAACAGTCTGTGTCTCCCCTCTTCTCTCAAAGCGCGACTAAACTTCCTAAATTAAAGCTCAGGTACCTACATTTTCCATCGCATTAAAAGTGAAATGTTGTGAACAAATCAAACAGATTTAGTGACAGCCAATGGCTGACATTATGCATTTCAAACTTTTTTGACCAATTCTTATCCCTGTGACAAACAATAGTGTTTGTGTCCACCTGCCTCACTCTGATGTTTATTACTCTCTTGTAATGTAGACTATTGCACCTTATTTTATTGTTAAAACTGCAGACATCCTGATCATCTACAGCATACTGTTTAAACAAACTGTAAAAATACGAGGAAAAAAAAACATGTTGTCGGCTGTCAAGTAGGCAAAAATGCCCGGGCCGTTTTTTGGCCCCAGTCCAGCCCTGCTTGTCTTCACCAAGTTAAAATGATTGAATGTTTTGTTTAATGTTTTAGTTACATTGTGCTCACGTTATTTATAATTAGAAGTTTTAGATTTGTTATTTTATTTTCACTTGAACTGAAGCAAGCAAGACATGAGGTGCAATTATATTGTGTCTCTGTCTGATTTGCTTTTGTTTGGTTTTATATTTTTCAAGAATATAAAGTGGATGTTGTAATAGATTATGACTAATTATCCCTCTTTGTTGTGCCCTTACTCCCAGGGTTTTATGAGAAAAATAAAATCAGCACTACCACAAACTAAAAGAACTTCGTCTGCAGTCTGCAGTGCTTCTTCTCCCCGCACCACACCTCAGCTATACTCCTACAATGCAGAGTCCAAAAGCTGAGTGCGCTGGGACCACATATAGCCAGAGACAGTAAATGAGGGTTACACATAACAATTCTTAAAGAATGTTATAGGGGGAAAGGTCAAAGCAATGGTTTGGACAACGTTCAGATTGATTGCCTATTTGCCCCATTTGGCATGATGTATTTGGCATAGGCTATTCATTCAATATTCATTTGTCATTATATGGAACTTTCTTTGGTGCTGTTTGCATATATGTCGTGTGTGGGCTGGACTATTTGCAAATCTTAATCTAACATGAACTAACCGGGCTTTTACTGAGGGTCTCGCGCGAATCAATAATCCTTCCGCGTGAGAGAGCTTTCACAGGATAGAGGCAGAGACGCAGCACAAGAAGCTGTTCGGAGGTCGATTGACGTGATTTTGTATTTTTGCTTGATGTACGGACCTAGAAAGAAAGGAAATACGAGTAGGAGATCCGCCTTTGTTTTTGTAAATAAAGAAATTAAGCAGGTGGAGGCACTAAGACCCAGTGGAGAGGACAGTGCCACCCGCCCGCTGCTGCCTGTGTGTGCGCTGCTGCTGCTCCACTTCGCACAAGCTGGAGATCCACAGAACATCTCTCAATAATGCCCTGTTTGTAAACAACAATTCCAGCCCAAGACGAGGGCTGTGGGGTAGGGAGATGGGTGGTGATTGGAGAGGCATGGGGCGGTCGGAGCTGGGAGGAGGGAGGTAATAATGAATGAACCAGGTGAGGAGGAGCTCCCCCTTCTTTTGGCTTTACAACCTCCCAACCCCACTCCTCTCGCACTGGGGCAGAGCCAGACACACCAGAGCTCTGCTATTACACAGAAGCAACAACGGGACACTGTCAGGTATGGGCACACACAGATTATCTTTTATCAATATATCATTTTCAGCGTAAGTGATTCTTGTTTTATACTCTTTTTCGATATTGATTTATTGCATGCAAGTTGAAGTGAACATGGCACAGACAAGAGACTGCTATCATCAGGCTGTAAACACAGTGTCATGTGCATTTGATAGGGTCATAAGGCTTCCACATTCTCTGCTGCAGTTGTGTGTTGTTTTGAAAAGTTTAAATAATGATTGGTATAAGGTGCTAGTGTGCATCACTGACAGAAATGATATACAATATAACACACCCTATTATTTAGTTGATCAAATATGACCCTCATTTTGCTATCTTAAAGCAGGAGTTTTACAACATTGAAGAGTGACAATCTTTTGCAGTGTAAATTGATTTTCTATTGAGTTAGAGAATCATACTAATTATAATAAAAAGAGAAACTGGAATAATAAGTTGAATGCACTCAGAAAAGTGAGTTAGCGTCTATGCTTCTTCCTACTTCTTCCTAACAGCTTATTTCTGTAAGGGTATGTTGAAGTATTCTCATTATTCTGAATTGGCCGAGAATGATCAATATGATTTACAATATAAATGATACATACGCACAAGTAAGTGGGCAAGCTCTTTGAGGTCATTTATTAGGCAGGATAGTCTATTTGACCTAACCCTTGCTGGCCTTTTGACATGCTTATCCTTTGCTGTCTGTCACACTTGTGAAATGGAAAACTTGCCCATGCAGGCAGACTGCATGGAAATGTACCACAGATCGTACTTTCACTGTGGGGCTGTGTCCGGGTGAGGTTGTGACCGTAAACACAACCAACAGACTCTTCCCTTACAATCAGAGCACTGCTATAGCACTCCGAACAGTAGACCAGAAGAACAGTACAATCAAACTAAGTGTTATTATTTGGTCCATTGTTCTGAATCAACATGCATCATAATATATTAATGTCAAGCTTGTCATATGTTGTGATAAAGAATTAAAAAGAACTGTATTGATTGGCACATCACTCAAGACGGTGATAATGCTGAGTTTTGCAGTTCATTTCTAATACAGTTTCCTTCTAGACTCCGTAAGGTCGACATATGGTCCACTCTGTGCTTTTAGCTTGTCCCTGGGGCAGCTGCCCTCCAAACTAGCATCTGAACATGCAGCTGTCCGATTCACCTAGAATTGTGTAAGAATAATTTTCTTGGTCACCACTGATGTAGTAGTAGTAGTGCCCTATTCAGATATTTTTGAGGAAAAATACAAAAGTTAAATATTTTTTTTGAAGCCTGGCTAAAAAGACATCTTTGTAATGAGAGGGAGATGGTGGGGGAAATCTGATAAAGACTTCCAAGAAGGCACAATCACACCTAATTGAGTTTTTATTGTAAATTGCCTTTTGGGTAAAACCACAATTAATTCTCTCTATTCAATGCACGTGTATGACTGTACTATACGGCTATAGAAATTAATTGGTGGAGCTATTCTGATCTGTTCTATTTCATCTTGATCTGGTGTTGCAACCTCACCTCAGATGGGACGTGCCTGTTTAAATAAAGCATAAGAACAATCTTTTCATATTCAGCAACAGAAGATTGAATGTCAGTAGATGACATATTTGGACTGGTTTTAATAGCAGGTAACTATTTTCTTTTCCTTCCAGATCTTTAATGTCTGTGGATTTCAAGTCGGTTGTCATCTCCTGACATAATCTGAAGGGCTCTGAGACAAATCAGAGTGGAATCTGGACTGTTTGCTTCAGCTGCCCATGCACCGTTTCAGACTCTGAGCTTCTTTGTAGCACCCTATAACAGGGGAGGATGGGTGATGGGCCTGTGACATTTTCTCATCCCATCCTCTCATGGAGCGTCCCGTCACTGCCAGCCCTCTGTGGAACACTTCTCTGTCCGGTTTCCCCTTTCTGCCGGCGCTGCTGCACCCACAGTCATCACTTAATGGGACCCAGCCTGTCATCAGTGCCCCCAGAGATGGACTGAACCTGAGCCAGACTCTGGCAATATGTGCCATGGTTGTGATGGACGTTCTAGCGGTGGTGGGGAACCTTGCGGTGATGGTGGTGATCAGTCGGACGCTGCAACTCAGGAAGTTTGCTTTTGTGTTTCACCTGTGTCTGGTGGACCTGGTGGCTGCGCTGGTACTGCTGCCCCTGGGAATGCTCTCTGATCGGGTTTTAGTTAATGAGACCCTATGTCACTGCTACCTGTGCCTTTCTGTGTGTCTTGTGAGTGCTGCCATTCTCACCATCTGTGCGATCAATGTAGAGCGATACTATTACATTGTCCACCCCATGAGACATGAGGTGAAGATGACGGTGGGCGTGGTGGTGCTTGTGCTGGTGGGGATTTGGGTGAAAGCTGTTCTCATGTCTGTGCTGCCACTGCTGGGATGGCTGCTGCAGGGTGGTCAGGGAAAGGGGGCCCCGCTGGACCTTGTCCCAGGCCAGAGGCAGTGCTCCCTTCATTGGACAGGGGGGCAGCTCACACGGGTGCTCTTCATGAGCTTTTTCAGTTTAATTTATTTTCTGTGTCCGGTGCTGGTTATCCTAGTGGTGTACTGCAACATGTTTAAAGTGGCTCGTGTGGCGGCCATGCACCACGGCACACTGCCCACATGGACCGACTCTTTCCGCCAGCGTTCAGAGTCTATCAGTAGTCACTCCACCATAGCAGCCAGCCTGAGTGGGACGGGGGCTCGCACCACCCCTCAGAGGATGTTCAATGGTGGTAAAGCCGCAGTGGTTCTACTTGCGGTGGGGGGTCAGTTTGTCTGTTGCTGGTTGCCGTACTTCTCCTTCCACCTGTATTCGGCCACAGTGTCTGCGACGCCCTTCGCTCTGGCCCAGCTGGAGGATGTAGTTACATGGATCGGATATTTCTGCTTCACCTCCAACCCCTTCTTCTATGGCTGCCTGAACAGACAGATCCGGGAGGAGCTGGGCAGACACCTAGCCTGTTTGTTCAAGCGGGCGGGGCGAGGGGAGGTGGAGCAGCTGCCCAGCAGAGAAGCCTCCATCGAGGAGAACTTTATGCAGTTCCTCCAGGGCACTGGCTGCAGTCTGGAGCCCTGTAACTCCCAAAGCAGAGCAAGCCTTGAGCCTGAGACAGAGGGCCTCGTTGAGCCCACAGACTGTAGCATCCCAGGGCAGATCCTGGAGGAAACATCTGAATTCATTCAGCAACAGCAACTCAACAATGATGTGCATGGATCGGAGAGGGGCTTCAAGACTATCCCAGAACTCTAATCTGTGTCCTGCTAATGGCCACTGATACATATAGTATATTCCTGTTTTATAAGAGTGACTAAATGAATACATCTCTTGTTCTGCTCTGACCACTACTGTAATACAAAACCCCTGGACACTACAAAAACACAGACCCTTCTGTGAAGAATTCTACTAATGTGGCTTTCCAATGAAACTGAAGCTGCTCTTCTTCATACGTGCTCCTCTCTGTCTGGACGTAACTCACCTTTAGGCACTGTATTTCACAATGTGATATATCCTTGAAGTCATTCTTGGTCATATTGGAGCAGAATCCCCATCTATTGCACACAGAAACACAAAATATCTTTTAAATATTATGTTGTTGATACATTTTTTTAAATTATGATAACAATATATATATATATATATATATATATATATATATATATTATAATAATATCTGGGTCTAAGATGCAGAACTATATGATTGTATTACTCTCTCACCCATGTGTTATTGTTTAGCTTTGATTATGTCTTAACAGCCTCCTACTGCACTTAACTCATTTAATCATCTTCTTTTTTTTGACTAAAAAGTCTGATAGCAAATGCTATTTGCTATCAGCTTTCTAATAAGGAATTTTAAGTGCGTTTGGCAGACCTGACAAATGCATTCACTTAAACCGACTTGAAATAATCATATTTAGTTTGATGGTTATGATGTATTTTCTTCCTGTTTGGGACCAGACATGCCATATGAGAAAGAAACGCCATTTTCATTTATTTTCTTTAAATGTTGCTGTTCTATCTATATAAGGATATGCACTACTTCCTGTATGTTTTTTCCCCAAACTGAGCTTCACTGAAAGGAAACATAAAGGTGCAAAAACATACATTCAAACACGTATCACATGAAAGTTATGACAAGACATGGACATCTGGACACACTGGGCTCAAACCAGGCTGAAACCAGGCTGAAACCAGGACAAGTTGCTCGCAAATCTACCAAAATGCTTTACTTTTATACACATAGGAATATTTATTGCGTCCAAAGGGATTGTTTTACTGCGGGCACCGGAGGCTCACAGCAGAGTATATTTATCCCATTCCAGGAACATTATTATCGTGTTTATCTGGTCTTAGTCATGTGAATATCACCTCCAAATTCAGCTCACACATGGGAGGCTTGTGATTTTTCCTTTTACCCTAAAACAATTTGACTGGTTTAAAATGAAAGCTAACCTTCACAGGGCTATTTGAAAGTGGTTGTGTGGGAGGGGGCCCTGCTATGTCTGCCTGTTTACACGAAAATACAGCACAAATGTGAGTGTAAACATGACGCTATGTTTTGGCTACAAATGGTACAGGTGTAACTCTGGTTATATGTGCAGAGTTTTTACCTTTAGCCCATTTCAGTGCTCCTTAAAATTCACTACTCAAAATCGAATTACAAAAATTGCAACGTTATAGTAAAGTAAACATGAAAGGTCTAACCATATTTTTACCTGAACTTGGACTGATGCAGATTTGTATTTTTATTTTTATATTTGGAATGAACACAAGTTCTTTGGACAAATCAGATGCACTGCCTTTAGTGTTATGGCAAGACCATGGTAATTTTCAACACTTGTTCTTTGGAGACCAGATACTTGTATATTTTGATTGCCTTAAAACAATATTTGCCAATGAGACATACAAAAAGACTTTATTAAAAGAAGACAATAATATTCTTTGAATGATAAATACATTGCAACTGCACTTAAAATGAGACAGAACAGCTTGTCCCATTGGCAAAAAGTACTCAATTCAAGATTCAGGAAAAAACACTTTATTTTTTAGCATTTATTGGTTAATATTGTTATCATTTTGCAGTGCAGCATTCATGCAGTAAATGATCTCCACATAATTTCTCAACAGGAGAATGGCTGTTTTCTGTATAGCCAATAGTCAATTGCTGCTTCTCTATTCTTCAGGTAGTTGCATATAGAGACAAATAGGTTGCAAAACGCTGAACCACGTTCCGTTGTCTATTTCGGATGCTCATCGGACTCCCCTGGCAGGATCACAAGACTCAAATCACATGGGACAAAACGGAGGCCGAGGATTTGCTGGGAGTCAAAACCATAAAGACCTCTTTGTCAAGAAAGACATTATGTTCCTAATTTTATAACCTTCTCACACAATTGTCATATCTTGTTTAAAAGCAGCTCTATCGAACTGCCAAACGTGTGTGAAATATTCACGATTATAACATGCTCTGACAGTACAAATAAAACAACACTGCCAGCTTTATTACATAAAATCAAGATGAATTGCCTTTCTATTTGGTGGTTTTCAATTAGCTGCGACTAAAAAGACCTTTACCAATCAGATTACTCGCTCTAATCCCCATTTCTGATGCCATCTGCTGATACAGTAAACATTCCCAGTTGTATATCCTTTCACCTCTTCAGTTCTTTGTCAATCATGGTAAATGTTTTTATTTTTTTTTTTTTACTGTATTTTACTGTTTTTGTACCTGGACTGATATATCTGTTGCATCATTCTGTAAAGGCTTGTTTATGTCTGTTAAATTAAATAATTAAAGACCGAAGGTGGTTGTGAGGTGAAATAGTGGGTTATTGAGGGCGAGGGGGATGAAAGGACAATTGCTCAAAATTTGTTCGAGATAGGGTTAGGTATAGGTTACTACTATTACTTTTAGCCAAAAGTTATATAAGAACAACAACAACATACAGTATTGGTTTGATAAACCTTACTGGCTGTGGTTTAAAACGTTTGTGATTGAAACTTGAGACTTTATGATAATAAAATGTAGGTGTGGAACATATGTCAGATAATACAGCTGGATTAAAACAACATTGTCTTATTATAAGGACATGATTTCAACAAATTTTTCTCGTGTGTTTGTTTTTGCTTTACTAAACTATTTCGGCAGATTTGCAAACATCCAAACATTACAATTGCAAGAGTAGCACATGCATGAATCACATGATTGAGGTAAATGCATGAAGTACACAGAATGAGAGATAAGTGAGCGTACATCTCGTCCCATGTCACACTGCAGCCTTGTGAAGGGCATCAGCCTCTCCACAGGCCGTATGACCGCTGCTCCTCCGCTGAAACTATGGGTCAATCTCGCTTTCATGTGCGGAGAAGAGCGCCTCCTGCTGCGTGCAAACTGTAAACACACACACACTTCACACATACGCCTGCCATCTGCCCATTGCTACAGTAGAAGCCACTGTTCAGGTTACAGTTTACAAACATGCACCAAGTACCACTACTTTCTGAACAGAATGATATAACCCAAAATGATTGAACATCTTGAAAAAGAGATTATTAATTTCAATGAGGTTCTCCTGGTTAAATAAATAAGATAAAAAACATGGTTCAACGTTATTATGTATTATCTTGTCTAATCATGTTTTATGATTCCAACAATATTCTACTGAGTATCTTTCTGATGCAGTTCCAAGCACGTGGAAAGAGACGGTTATGAAGTATTGTCACGTGGGTTCGAAGCATCAAATCTGAGTGTTGTCATGGTAACCGCGGACACTGGACCAAATTTCAGGCATATTTCATTTTGACTATCTACCACATGTTTCCCTATGGATGATATTGAAAAAAAGCATTTGAATGTGTAATAAAAGGTTCACCTATTGTATTATTATGATTTACCTCACTCCAATGCAAACATATCATTTGTTTTCCGGCAACCTTTCTTCATCAAGCAAAAATACAAACATAAATAATAAATGTCACCAACTGTAGTGCGGTATAGAACACATTGAGGGCGCTCTCACACCATGAACAGAATAGTCCCCTTTCATAAAGTATACACATCTTAGTATATTTACTTTCACACATACCACAACTTAACCCCAACCTACAAAATTACCAAGGCACATTTAGGGTAAAACCTCTTAGTACCTAAATACCATTAAACTTCTTGCGAGTCCTCACGTATTCCGAGAAACTACATTTCCCATCATGCCTCGAGGGTATTGATTTTCCGTCTTCAGAGCTTCATGTAGTCTTGCAGCAAAGCGCGTATGAATTGTCGTGAACTTCTGTCAGTGGTCCTATGCCACCTCACCACCGTGTATCACTACTGTTGTCAGACCAGTTTCGTTGCTACTGAACTATCATTTTGTTTTTAATAGTTTTTCTTCATGAGTTTGAGGAGTGACTTGAGTGCGCGGGACTGAAGCAGCGCTCTCAGCATCACTTTGTGCGTCTTTTTTTCTTTTTGGACAGACACGGCTCTTCAGACAACGCCTTTCCTCCTCCGAGCAGCGGCTTTAATAGCAGCAGTGCCGAGGGAAGTCTCTATCCGGGATTTGGACGGGACTGTACCGTTTGACAACTTATGACAGTCTCTCCACACCTTCAAGGAGATACATTTCTGCGCGTAAAGTGGAGATATGGGGTGCACGATCAGCGCCGAGGACAAGGCAGCGGTGGAGAGGAGTAAGATGATTGACAAAAACCTTCGGGAGGACAGAGAGAAGTCTTCCAGGGAAGTGAAGTTGCTACTGTTAGGTATGGAAGCATATCATGAATATTATTATAGGCTGTTTTATTACTATCTACTCATTATATTGCGATCACATTAAAGCTGGGGTACCTAACTTTCAAACAACAAACATTTAACTAGTTATGAAATCCATCTTGTCCCAATCCACTATAGTTCCTCTATCTCAAACCGTTTCTATCACTAGTTTTCAGCTGCATGCTCTGTAACATCTTTAGATCGGTGTTTTTCCTGACAGAAAAGTGAATAAAAGTGGACAACGCTCCCTCAGGGTCCCTCAAGAATGTTAGGTACCCCAGCTTTAAGATTTGAACAGATTTGAACTGTCATTTTGACCCAGACACTTCTTACATTATGTGGGAGGCATAGACTGTATATATTAAGTGGGAGGCAAGAAAAGCACTCAGGGTGTTGGCTGGATGGTAACAGGAATTGAAATCAGTATTCTACACTTCAGACTGTTTGTTGTCAAAGTTTCAGCACCAATCTCTCGGGTCTGCTCGATTATCCTTCACCGTACATAGATTTCCTGTTTCTGATGAGTAAGATGAGTGCGAAGATTTCCCAACCTGTCTGTTACTGGAATATCAGAAATTAGTTCAACTCTAAACAGAGGATAACCTATAAGCAATACCAAAGGTTGCTGCTGCTGCTTGGTTGCATTTTTGGTCCAGATGTCTGTAATCAGAAACACCATTTTGGTTTTGTACACTGTAATTTTGGTTAATAATTGAGAGGACATGAATTGTAACACAACTCTGGCAAGAAGTGAACAGGCCACTGTGGCCTGGGGCACATGTTTTATTTGGTAACACTTTATAATAATGGTACATGAGCTCATGCATGATTTTCATTAATAAGTCATCTTTAAATCCTCCAACACGTTATCATAGGGAAACTTTGCTTCTTTAGTTTGAAAAAAAGACAAAATTCCTACTGTCTCACTTTGGCCATATAGAATTCTTGTCGCTTGGGATTGATGTGTTTTGCAGCTTGTGCAGACAGCTGTTTGTCTATGAATCATAAAGAAGATGACCTAAACAATAATCTGTGGATGTAGTGGCCCATGTTTGAGGAAGATGAGAAGGATGCTTTGCAATATATTTGGGCAATTACATAATGATAATTATGAGAATAATGTCATTTATATAAAACACAACTTGAGAATATTGCGGTTTCTGTGTGAATGAAATGTAAAATGTTATTGAGTGTATGTGTGTGTGTGTGCGTGAGTGCGTGTGTGTGTGTGCGTGCGTGAGTGTGTGTGTGTGTGCGTGCGTGAGTTCGTGTGTGTGTGTGTGTGTGCGTGCGTGCGTGAGTGTGTGTGTGTGTGTGCGTGAGTTCGTGTGTGTGCAAACATGTTAAATACAAGATATATTATGTACAATAAAAAGTGGCAATTTAAAAGTGGCAATTTAAAGTGGCAATCAGAGATAGTGTCAATAGTAGTGCAGGTTCTTTCAGTCTTAAACAGTGACTTAAAGTGACTTATTGTACAGTCTGACAGCGGTGGAGATAAAGTCCCTGCGGTGGCGCTCCTTCTTGCACTGAGGGTGTCTCAGTCTTCCACTGAAGGAGCTCCTCAGCTCCTCTACAGTCCTGTGCAGTGGGTGGGAGGTGTTGTCCATGATGGAGGTGGCTTTGACTAGCACCCTCCTGTCCCTCACCTCCTCCACAGAGTCCAGGGAGCAGCCCAGAGTGGAGCTGGCCCTCCTGACCAGCTTGTTCAGTCTACTCCTGTCCCGCTCTGTGCTGCCCGGGTTAGAATACAAATCTTGAATCAGGGTGCACGTTCCCCTCTGATGGGGAAGATGTTCTGTACCTTAGAATCATTTAAAACTTATACATTATAAACGACTGTTTTTAGGATAAAATAGAATAGAATAAACTTTATTGTGCCCTGAGGGTAATTCATTTTTGATTCAGTGCAACAATTGTCACACAATGTTGTCACAGAATAGCATGTTCAGAACAAAAAACAGAATTCTTGAATTGTTCGGCTCTCCTCTGCACAGATATGACCTGTCACTCAGCCAGTCAATGCCAAGACAGCTTCACCCGATGGAATATCAGGCCACGTAACCATCTGGATATTGGTTTCCGAATACTCCTATAATTAAATATATTAACTTTTCCCTTAGACTTGAAAGGGGGTAAACTAAGGCACGGGGGATTCTCTGGATGTAAATTGTTTGAATATAAAAGCACCGGGCGGAGAGCATCTCTCCCTCACTGTTTAGTTGTAACATGATCCAATGTAATGCGATTACCACTGGCCCCAGCAGTATTTCCCAAAGTGATGCCAGCACCCTGCACTTTATTAAATGGATGATTTAAGAGCAAATATTGTTAGTGAATCATTCCCAGAGATGAGTCAGTAAATTAGCAGCAGCATCTCTAACCATCACTTTACCAGGTTTGATCAATAATCGTGTGCTTTTTTACGCGTAGAAGAGGTTGCATAAGGACATCTGTTCACAAGATGCCCCAACAAATGCAGCAAGTTCCTGCTCCTTACATCTAGAATAGAGCGGACCATTTATATTGCCAATGATGCCAATAAAAATTATAAAAAACTCTTGACTTGCACTTTTTTTCCTGTGGGGGAAGACATAACATGTTTTCCATATAGATGAAACAATAACTTTTTACTATTGTACTTTTTGTGATCTCTTTGTCATCTGCCATATATCTATGACAGTTAATATTAATGTATTATTGATGAATATAACAATAATAAGCATAGTTGTCTTTTAGTACACCACTAGAGTGCAACAATTCATTATGTGAGTTCAGAAAAAATAGATTTTGTGGGGAACAGCTGAACAGCCAAAATGAATCAAGTAAGAAGCGAGATGAATATTCCACCCTGTATTTTTTCTTAGATTTCATGTTTCATAAGCCTGATGCTGCCTGATTGAGGAGATATGCCAGGACAAAAATCTGCTTTTAACTGTACTTCCTCCCATTTCTGAGTCATCGGTGTGACCATTCCTCAGATGCTGCTATTGTGTTCAAGCTGGTGGCCCATTGCATTCTATGTTGCTACTAGGCTTTTCCGTTCCATTGTGTTTGTTGTAGCAATTTTAAATGGGTTAAAATGACTGCAGTGAGACAAAGAAATAAATGATTTTAAATCCTTTTGTATGAGAGCAATCCTTTTCAACCACAAACCGAACATGAAGTAACTTTTTCCAAGCGCTGCCCTCGTCCCCTGTCTGTGCAGCAGCAGATTTATGGGAGGAAAACAAAGCACGGATCGGCAACTTTCCCATAGTTAACCACAAAAACTGAAGGGGCCAGTGAAAATGCTTGACTGAAAGACAACTTCCACTGAGTCTAAGCTATCTGCATTTTAAATTGTGGTTAGATGGTTCTTAGTTTGGAGCCTGGTGTGGTTTGGATGCCTCTGTAGCAATGGTGAGTGAGCTGGCATCGGGCCATAGCTGATAATGGGCCAGAAATGCTGTGAATGAGAGAGTTCAACAGTATCCGCTCCCCCCTCCCTGTCTGACAGCATAAATCTCATCTGGTGCTGTTAAACCAGAAGAATTTGTGGCTTTAAATCTCATAGACTTGCATTAAGACACATTACTGCAATGTTAACTGTGACTAAATGTATCAAGGGTAGGATTCCCAAATGGGATTGGGCCAACAAAAACAATACCACAAAGACTCATCACAAATCATTTTCCATGCAAACCGGCATTTCTATTTTAGAAGTCCAGTCCATTTTTCACATTCCTTTGTGTAATAACATCTCCATAATATGGAGACCACTTACTGTCTGTGGGTATATCAGGAAAATTGTTTTGTTTCACCAGTAGTGGAGAAGTTTATAGAGGTCATTTCTCATTATTGAGCTGTAGTGTAGATATTTCAGTTTGTGTAGAACTGAAATATCTACACAAACTGCTAAACTAATCAATCAATAAATCTTTCGCTTTCACTTTCTGTTACAAGCTCAGATATTCATCTTTTATTTAAATCTTTTACAAAATACCAAACAACATACATGTGACGATTTTACATATCTTCCGTATAATAGTTCAGATATCATATCATTAGAAAAGGGGGCTTTTTGCATAAAAAGTAGTTTCTCAGATAAAATGAAATGTTGCCAAAAAATTAATTATTTCATTTTTATCCAATCCGGTGGCGATCAGAGTTGCCACCCATGGCTGCTTCTCCTTGTGGTGTGTTCATGGAAGAACAACTGCTCCAACAGCGACCCCACACTCATTTAACCCAGAAAATAACGCTCTTAACAGCAGAGCCACTGTCACACTGTTGCTACCGGATAATGGTTGATAACTACTAAACTCTACGATACACTTTTGAGGCACAAGGGGCGAACCCATAAGCAGCTCAACATTTATTTTACAAAAAGGTAGAGCTGGAGCAGGTAAGTGGCAGGAAGGAAGAAGAGGTAATAAAACTAGTGGGGGCGGGTCCCGGCTCAAAACGACCACGAGCATGTGCGCTCACATACTTGCGATACCACCTCAGGTTGGTGAGAAAGAGAATTATCTAATGCTTTTGTAAGGCGTCTTCTTTAATCACGAAAATGTTACACAAAAGCTACGTTCCAGATGCTGTCAATGCTGAGGGGAGTATATACTTTTGGACTGCTCTAGTTTAGCCGCTGTGGACTTCAGACGGCACTTGTCAAATAAATGGGCTGGTGCCGGCTGACGCATGCGCAAAAACGTTTTTTTCACATTTTCTTGCGAGAGCGTGGCCATTTTGAAAAATCCCGATAAAAGCCAAAAGTGATGGCACATTATTTTCTACGACGGAGACAGGCGTGACAATGTAATATTTACAGTTTATGGTAAAAACTGGTAAGTGGTGGCTGGAAATTGGAACGAATACAGAAAAAACAAAAATCAGATGAAGAAATCCACAAATTGCACAACAAATAGTAAGAGGCCTGAGGAGTCACTGTTGTAGACTAGACAAGTGAAATGCCCAGTTTAAGTACTGCGCTGATGATGGAGTACTGGTGCGCAGGCCAATCAGGAACAAGGAGCGGGAACAGTCAGGCCCACAGCAGCAGCCACAGGAGCTCACTGGGAGCTTAGTATCAAAACATAAAAAAGGAAAAAAACATTTATATTTCCTTTTAGATTCATCAAAATCTATGTCAGTATTTATTTCTAAATGTTCTTAATTTAGAAGCCTCTATTTAACTCATGTTTAAATGACTAGTTAGTGAGTGCCCTATTACTGATAAAATAAGTTAAATTTAATATCAAACCACAGCATTTATACTCTATAAATAGCAAACTTTAATCCTTTCGGTACATGTTCATTCCTTCTGGTCAAATTTCTTCAATACCAGGCCATTCATCCACTGTGTAGTTGACGGTATCATTGTTATGGCATTTGATGTGTTTGTGTCTTTGTCTTTGGTGGAAAAACGCAGCCTCAGCCAAAAGTATAACAACTGTTTCCTGTTTGACTGATTGTTGGAGCAATGCTGCATGACTGAATGTTGAAACATGTTTATTATTACACAAACGCTCTGTGCTTCTCTTATTAACGTCACACTGAAGTTTACGCAGTTGCATTATCTCTCAGTTTATTGCGACACATGACTCTGCACATGTCTCCAGGATGAAGCCCTTCTAATGTTTATACCAAGAATCCGCTCAGAAAATACTTGCCTCTCCAAGTACCACCACAAATGACCAACACCACACAGTAGAGTAATAAGCCTAAGTATTCATCAAAAACAAGGCAGAGGTTTCATTCCTAAAGAAGCTTTTGTATTTTCTGCTCCTTCTACATGGTACGTGTTGCAAAAAGAATGGAAATGATCTGAACTTATTTCATTGAATGCTTTCAGATCCAGATTCAGAGACCTGAGACATCTTCAGTGAAATGTAGCTGTTTTTAGAATCAGTAATTTTATGAAATTGTATGTGACTGTTTTATAATCTGTATGTAACTATTGTATAATCTGTAATCTGTTGTTTTGTTCTCCTGTGATCTCCAGTCGAAAAGAGGGAAGTGTGACAAAAAGCACCAGTCTTAGACAAAAAGCTGAGAAAATTAGGTGTTTGTGAAAACAGACGAACTTGCAGAAAAGTGACTGTAACACTATTTAGTTTAACTTTAGCATCTCCTCAAACATGTCCAGGATCTTACATGTTAGAAAACAGCAGCAACACGTTATGAGAAAGTGATTTTGATGCAAAATAATGTTTTATGGCACACACACCCACATCCGCAAAGTGTTCAAATATTTCAAAATGTACTCATCCAAAATACGTCAACATTTACATATTTAAAGTAGAGCCCATGACAAACTATGCCAGAAAGAATGGCCAGTATTCATGGTGCCGCTATATTTATGTCAATAAGAGTAAATCAGAGATAAGCAAAATTACGATGATAAATACTATGAATCACAATAAATCAAAGTAAACAGACAATATACTTATACTATAAGTGCAATAGAATACTGTTGTGTGTGTTTGGGAGCGTATGTATGTGCGTTTACTGTATGCGCACGTTTGTGTGGTTACATCTACAGAGTGTCGTTCTGTTTAGTCCGGCGTGCGCTGTGACCATAACTGGACTTTGCCGCTGGCTCCTGGTGCGGACTCAGTGATATTTTTAGCAATAGTCCACTTTTCTGTGGCTTTTTTGGGGTGCACCGCAGGTCTGCTGTCCTGACCCTCCACATGGTCTGCTGTCCTGACCCTCCACATGGTCTCTGTCAGCTCTGGAGACACATTTACTGCTCAAACTGCCTCCAAATGTAGCCTGACCCTGACTATATTACTCCATGCCTGCTTCACCTCTGTCTCTCCTGCTCAGAGTGCTCAGGCAGTGCTCTTTGACCAAGACACCCACAGAGCTCTGCTGCCACCTGCTGGCTTAATAAAATACTATCTACAACCCCAGACACATACATACACAGACGGACAGGAAAAGATTGAAAAACAATGTTGACGTCAATGAGTTTTTAGGTTGTTTTTTTTCAGTGATTCTTTGGCGTACCCCTAGAGGGAGCCGGGAACCCCACTTTGAGAACCACTGGTTTATACATCAAACTAAATATTGATCATTTTCTGGATTTGAGCACCAGTAACATGTGAAAAGTATAAATATAAAAGTTTGTGGGCATCCATTCAGTAAAAGTGAAACAAAGTTAATCCAAAATAACAAAAAGCTTTGGTCATCTTAATTCTGTTCTTTTGCAGGTGCTGGGGAGTCTGGGAAGAGCACAATAGTGAAGCAGATGAAGTAAGTGCCTCTGAAAAGCATTTTGTTTCACATCATTGTCTCCAGATATGATATCTTGTAGTTGCTCTGATTTTACATCATCTCATCGTTCATTATACAGGTGAAACATACTCGTTCAAACTCTACGTCTGTAATTCAAATAAAATGTGAAACTAATTTATGACTCATTACAGTCAAAGTGAAATGTATCAAGCCTGTTTTTGTTTAATGTTGGCTCACAGCTTGTAAAACCCCCAAATAATTTTTTTTAGATCATTTGAATATTTTTAAAGTGGAATTCTTATAAGATAAGATAAACTTTATTAATCTCACAATGGAGAAATTTACAATTTGTTTTTTATTTGTTTGTTTATTTAGACGAAACAGTGGAACAGCAGGAGCTAATTTGCATCTGTAGTCCCACTCACAAACACACACTCATTCAAGCCTCACCTATTGTACATGTTTTATTGGTAGGGAAACTGGAGTTCCCATAGGAAACCTACGCAGACACGGGGAGAACATGCAAACTCCACACAGAAAGGTCCTGGTGAATCGGACCCAGGACCTTCTCGGTATAAAGCACTGCGCTACAGCACTTTGCAAGTAATGAGTCTATATCAGTTATGGGTTTCACTTTATGAATTGAATTTCATAAATAAAAACACTTTTGAACAATATTCTAATGTTCTGGGTTTCACCTCGAGTAAAGCAGATGGTGCAGTTAGTTACTATATGTTTATTAATGCAGTTCAATCCTACATGAGAATGCATAACTGCACTTTATTTTGAATAGATGAATTTGTGAACCAAAATGTGATATAGACGCATCACAGGCAAAGTGACATAAGTCTTTGTTTGTTATCTTTGATAATAAAAATATTAAAATCCTGATATGTTTCATTTGGGTTTTTACTTGAGACAATTAAGTTAAGAGTTAAGAGATCCTTCAGTCATGCCAAAGTGGGGAAATGTCAGTGTTATTATCAACATCACAACAAAGACGGTTTGATCTATCTCACTTTAAAAGGACTGAGTCTGTCAGATATTAGTGTCACATTGTGCGTTGAAATATAGTAAATGCACTTTTGAAGGATAGTCCATTTTTTAGTAACTCCTGTACTGTTGTATAAATGAGCATCTGAGTTTGAATCGGATTCTGAAACTTTGCACATGAACTCACGCCAATCCCAATACACCACTTGATAAAATAAAGATCAGAGACCCCAGCCTGTGTTAAGCTTCTTATTTTTTAAGTTGGTCTAAATTCTGTTAGCAATTCTTGTTCGAAAAGAATGTTTTTAAAACCCGCATCATTTGTTTCTCTGTGAATTGATTTGTCAGTCTGTGTCTGAGTGATTTACTAAACGGTTCTATGCAATACTCCTACATCCAGCATTTGACAATTTCTCTACATGACACTGACAGAGGACTCCCACTCCAAGCGGCTGACAGTCATAGGTTAATAGTGCAGTAATGCAAACTGGGTTCATATTTGAAATAACTCATTGCTTAAGTGCTCTGACAGAAAATGAAGCTTTCTTTGTGAAACAATAGCCACAGAGGCCGGTGCGAGCCTGGCAGTGGCTGAATAGACTGGTCGTTCCCACATTATCCATGCGGCATGTTCAGTGGAGTGCAAACCCCAGAGACAATGATGATAGATCTTCAGCTACCTCTCACACACTTACAGAACACTTTATTAGGTCCCGGCGAAGTGTTTGGTCACGTTTTGCCAATGTCTGTTGCAGAATCATTCATGAAGACGGTTACTCAGAAGAAGAGTGCAAGCAGTACAAAGTGGTGGTCTACAGCAACACAATCCAGTCCATAATGGCCATCATCAGAGCAATGGGCCGCTTAAAGATAGACTTTGGAGATGCAGCTCGAGCAGTATGTACTGATTCCTCATGTTCTATTTGTTTTAGCTCTAAAAGGGCCGGACATCTCTGGAGATACAGCATTCCCACTACTTTGAATCATATGTGACAAGGACCCAGTCCACGCAGAGGCATTTTGAGTTAGTATTATATCAAGATTACAGATTCTGAAAGTGTAGATTTCCAATAAGGTATAGCACGAGGCAATCCGAGTATTGATGGTCATTTGAAAGTTTTCTAAGTGTTATGTACGACATTTGGTTTGTATTGAGTCAAGATTTTTAGTATTTACCAATATTTGTATTCTTGGGGGGTATAATTTATAAACTATATATTATAATATACATATTACGATGATGTTTAATGAACAAAAATTGAATTATATGTATTTGTTATTGTGTGGTTAAAAAGCACATCATGAATTTGTAAAAGTTTACTCTTGCACTCTTTGCTCTATACCTATTACAACTATTAAAAACTACATTTTATTCAATTAGCTGATGAAAGCGGACTTTGATTGAGCATACTGCATGCTTCTTAAAGTCTTGGAAAGGTTTTGGAAATGTTATTGAAAACCTCTGGAGCCTTGGAATGTTTGTGGAATTGTGGCGTCTGAAGTAGTGATTCGTCTTGGTCCCTGTCCTTATAGCAGCATCTCAGCATCACCAAAGCGCAATGTGGTAACAAACACAACAGAGACACCTTTTGTGCAGAACTTTCTCAACCATCATCAAGTTGTTTATACCAAGAATCCCCTCAAATAACACTACGTTGAAAGAGCAACTGCTGTAAAACCTATGACATTTAATATATTTTAGGATATTTGTATATCCACAAAATGTCTATGTAAAGGTGCTCAGGATCAGGATAAAGGGCCAGCATGAATTCAAAAACTCAAACTCTATAATAATTGTTCTTTGTAATGATTCTCTCCAGGATGATGCCCGACAGCTGTTTACACTGGCCAGTTCAGCGGAGGAGGGAGTGATGTCGGCCGAGCTGTCCCGTGTGATCAGACGCCTTTGGGCTGACGAGGGGGTGCAGGCGTGCTTCGACCGGTCTCGCGAGTATCAGCTCAACGACTCCGCCGCATAGTGAGTCCTAAATCTTCTTTCATACACACAGAGGAGAACGGCTCCGGTCCAAGGCCAAAATGTGAACATAATTCATTCAGGGAGTGAGTGATAAAGCTGCCAGCTGCTCTAGCAACAATCACACGTCAGAGAGGTATCCCACATATTACAGCGAGTGTTTGGTTTGGATAGAGCTGTGCCAGCGCAAATAACGGATCATGTTTTTCAAAATATATGTCACTAAAACTCAACTGTACAATATTTCCCTCCAATAATTTAATACAGCTCTGTTTTGTCCTGACTTGGTTCTGCCTTTGGGTATTGAAAACGCAGAGATATTTCTGCATAGAAATTAACTACCAAAAACTCAACTCAATCTACAACTTTAGGCGCTTTTTACATTGCGTTGCCATGGAGATACTTGTGCAAAAGCAGAGCCGCTCTGAAGTCGATTCTCTGAGTCACAGGAAGCCAGAGCAGAGACCTGAGAACAGGACTAATGGACTAATGGTCCTGTTTTTTTTAACACAGCAATTTGACCTGCTGGAGACCAAAGTCGTAAGGATTTTATAGTAATTTGCAATAGATAGATAGGCTTTCTGCCAAAAAGAAAATCTAAAAGTGTTTTCGAAAAAATGAATCATTATTGTGTATGACACACAAGATATAGTTCCAATTTTAACACCATCTATCCATCCATTTTCTTCCCCTTAATCCATTTCTGGGTCGGGGGGTGGCAGTCAGAACTGCACCCAGTTCACAGAGCACCAGCCCCTCACTGATCCTCCTGTAGGTGGTGAGTCCACTGGAACCTTGATCGTTGGGAGTCGTGAAGTAGGTCTCGTGGTGGGCTCGAACCCACGACCTCCAGGTTCAAAGGCCAATTCTCTACCAACTGAGCCATTGTCTATAATTTGATATCAAGACAGTCCTTGACATAATGTCCATGACATCCGTGATAGTATTTGCACAGGAATAAATAAATACATAGTTCCCACAGACCAATGAATGTCACATGACCTCCTCGGAGACGCCATCTTTGATGGCTCGCTGCTGTGTTTGTGCATTCCATTAAACAGAAGAATGAGAATAAATGTAGATATTCAAACGCAAATTGGAAAAAAAGGGCAACTTTTGAGCAAATAATTGTATATTAATACAATGGCACCACAGTTTAACGTGCTACGGACATGTTTTACATATTTGATCAAATTATGCAGCAAAAATTAACAAGCAATGCAAACATTTCTCAAAAACTTTAGATTTAATACCAGTTGGAGCTCCATTTAATTATTTTAATTATATTAACAATTAATTTAATTAATGCTAATGCCACACGGACACTCTGGATTGCTGTTATTGTTTATTTCCGCGTTTTTGACCGTATGTTTTGGTGAATGGTGGGCAACTGATTTTTCCAGGCTTAAAGAGCAGTTTATTTTATGACACAGATCTTTTTACAGAAGCAATGCTGTTTGTGAACATTGTTTTAGCCCACCATAGAACTATTATTATCTATTTAATACATTTACGTTGCCCTCGAGAGCCTCGGACGCGACACCGATCCTCCTCATAATAAAGTAATCTAACGCTAAATAATGAAACTCTCAAGTTACCAGATATCAGCATACACAAGTTAGTACTGAGTAAATTACGTCTGTCAACACATTATGAGATACGATACGCACCTGACACAAAGTGCTCCGAGCATATTCTTGCGTGTTTTGAGGGAGTTTCTTGCCTGTTTATCTTCGCAAGCCATAACCTCCGTGGTTGTTCTGACAAAAGCTTAGTCTTCTCACATTCATGAAGTCTAATGATGGGTATACTGTAAAATCCAAGTTTAACAGAACCTCCGGCACGATTTGAACATCCATTGACCCAGCAGGAGATGACCATTTTCAACTTTATCACGACATTAACACGTTTCAGCTTCTTTTTCTATTGTTTTGCCCACAGCATGCCAACACAAATGGCGCCGGGTCGGCAAATCCCCGTATGTAGTGACGTCATGTAGGAACTATGTATACTCAGACTTGTTTACTAACCCACCATTAAAATTGGGTAAATATGAAACTTTCTTAGAGGACATAAGATAATAGTAATTATATGTTGTCTATTTTCCATCCAGCGTGCGATAGCATCTTTATGTCGGTTTTCCTGTTCTATTTGAAATAATTAAAGGAAGATGGTTAGTGCCTGTTGGTTCATGTTTTACTGCACTGCATTTTAATCTATGCCAAAATGAAAGAAACATGACGACTTGAGTGAGTGTTTGTGTGAAGGGCATGACTTTTGTTGTGAAAACAGTGCGTCTGTGCGTTCTGTCCACACAATACGACTTGAGAGCCAAGTGGAGCTTCGTCTGTTTTAACTCAACCCACCGCGAGCCTTGTGTTTATTATTCACCAAAATATGAGCCCTTATTTAGTATCACTGCGCGCGCTCCCAGATGTCGAGCAGACTGCTGCAGACAAGTACGAGCAAGACCCCGAGCGCAATAAAATAGAGGTTGTGTGTCAAAATGTGTTACTTTATCTACAGTAAATATAACACAACATACACACCTTTCCTGGTTCGCTTTTTCACCATGGAGATACTAATGAGATGCAAGTATGCAGTTTAGGGTTGTTGTGATTAATTATTATTTTTAATTAGTCTTAAATATTCCTTCTTCTTTATTAATTATGAAGGACCCCTTAATCTTCATTTCACTTTCATTTATTTGTTCCTTCAATCATATCACATCATACTGTATTTTCTCCTACACATACACATGCATCAATACATAAAAGTCGAATGAGTTCATAATATCTCTTGCTTGTTGTGAATTTTGTGGTGAAATGTGTTCAAATGAAGAAGCAGAGTTCAGAGGAAGTTTCATTTTGACTTTCATTTGCGACTACAGTACTTTTCTGCAGCAAAGCATCGGAATGAATTTGCAAATCTCATCGGCTTGGATTAAATTGCCTTCGCAGAAATCAATTTTGAGATGGTCATATTTGGTCACAGTTTGTTGATTTAAGAATGGTTCTGTGTGTGATGCAGCTACCTGAACGACTTGGACCGCATCTGTGAATCCGGTTACGTTCCCACTCAGCAGGACGTGCTGAGAACCAGAGTGAAGACCACAGGCATCGTGGAGACACACTTCACCTTCAAAGACCTCTACTTCAAGTCAGTTCATTATTATCCCCTGTGTTCTCTGCAAAAGCAGCTAATTAAAGTTTATTCAGAGTTAAGCAGCGGACTGGTTTATTGTTCGAGTCAGCAGTAGCAGTAAAAGTCATTGTAAAAGTCACTTATGAGGGTATTAACAAGTACCAAAGCTTTGTCCATTATACAAGTGTGAAAAGTGTGTATTTTAATTTTACAAGGGTGTCTCTTTTGGATCTTAGCAACAGCACGGAAAACATAGCTCGCACAGCTCATATACAGTGTCTAATGACTTCTACAGTTCTGCCATTTTCACATAATTATATAGAAAACAAAAAGAGACAGAATGAGGTGATTTCTGGAAGCAGATTGACAATGTTTTTATTGGAAGAGGTGAAAGGTGCACTGTGAATGTGTATCAAGAGAATAACAAGGTGGTACTGCTTGTTTTATTTTAGTATTAGCAGTATAGTAAAAACCTGCTGATACTATTTTTCTACTATTGCTATTACATTGTGTCTGCCTTTCCTTTTGATGTATGTGCATGTTATGAACACACCTGCTTTATGTAACACGGTGCTGGTCTCAGTTATAGGCGTTTTATTGCTTAAAGATACAATAAAACATGCATTCTTCCTTTGCTCATGGAAACAAGTCAATAGCATTTTAACATGTTTTTTTAATTCAATAATGGGTTCATTTGTATTCACTCCATGGAACTATTATATAATGCTGTTGCTATTACCATACGTCATTTTGTTTTGTTTTTTATCCACCTGGATTACATAACTATTTTACAGTGAATTTCCATCCATTAAGCTGAATGATTTGCTTCATAAATCCTAAAGCCTGTCTCTGGGTTTAGTAGTGCTTCCTATAATGACCTCCATACAATTTAAGTGATTACATTGAGCCCATCCGCATTATTTTGTCTGGCAACGTGTACTCATAAATATTGGTGTCGTCCCCATGGCTTTGGGATGGGACACTTGGGATGGCGTAATCACTGAATTGAAGTACGGGACACAGGACCATTTCATTTGGGTCAGAAAGGGGACGCAGGTGCAGCCCGCGCAAACAGCAGATTATGAAGTCCAGGCACCTGTCTGTTGTTTTGATGATTTTAGAGACTTAACATGGCTGGTTATGGACTGTATTGTATCAGGGAAAGAATGAAATACACTGGTTCACCTTTCGCAGCCTTGTGGTTTCCTAGATTTCTTGTGGACAGTTTTTTACATGTGTATACTCCAACAACATCATATACAACATGATTTAACTTGACGGTTATCAATATTCAAAAGAAAACCTTTGTGGCTTGTGTGCACTGTGGTGATTAATTCAGAGGAGACTCCCTTGGTCTTCCCGCAGCCCTCAGTCCTGCTCTTGCCCCTCAGTGCGGAGTCCTCTGCAGCTGTATTTTGCGGTGTATGCACGGCTTTTGACAGCTGCAGCAGCGCTCAGACCTACAACAACAAGTTTGATATCTCAGGGATCACATTTCAGCGTTGTGAGATTATGTGGTTAGAAAAGTGTTTAGTACGGGGTTTCACAGCCTTAAAACATAGAGCTATTTTTTAGAACTCAACCCTGATAAATGAGGAACACATACCTGTATTTTTAGTATTGTGAAAAAACTCTCATGAGAAAACATACCTAGAGTTTTCAAATCAGACCACACATGCAAATCTAATATCTGATTTAAGTTGTGACAGAGGCCTGTAGGTAAAACGGTTTAAAAGTCAGTGATCTCTCCTTTGTGTTTATTCAATGAACACCAATGATGCATGATAGATGTTTGTGTGTATGTTGTGAATGCACTCAGGACTTCATGTGTTTTTTCTCCTCAGGATGTTTGATGTGGGGGGTCAGCGCTCAGAGAGGAAGAAGTGGATCCATTGTTTTGAAGGCGTCACTTCAATCATCTTCTGTGTGGCTCTCAGTGACTACGACCTGGTTCTGGCCGAGGACGAGGAAATGGTAGGCCTGGCACAACGACTCATTTAGTATTGAATATATTACTTCAGAAAATTATTGTGATAAATGATAATACAGAAACTATTTAATGCCACTGATGCCAGAACAATACAGCAGGATAATTCAAGTAAAGCAACGTTTCATTTCACTGAAACACAGGCACTAAGAAAATAAACTGCTGCATTAAGAAAATATTTAGATATAAAAGCACTTAAAATTACAAAATTAAGAAGAAATCAGAATGTTTAAATGTCACAACTTGTGTTTAAGATTGACTTTTGAGATCCTCTTTCTATAGTATTAATGTTTCATACAAAAAAATCCCTGAATAACAAATAATTTTATCCTTTGAATAATAATGAAAATCTACAATTTTCAACTAAATAAGACCCTAGCATCAAGGAAAAATTATAATCCATAAATACCAAATCTATGTTAAGTAGCTTGTTTGTAGAAATCTGCCAAAGGGACAAGTTATACATTTTATTTGAAGTCAATATTAATTTTTGATGTTTTTTATGATGGACACATGCATTATTATACCTTTCTTAAATCAAGGAAACTTCTTTTTCCTGTGTAGTAGATACATACAATCATGTTACCCAGGAAGGGCGCATGACCCATTAAAAATGATCCCTCGACCCACCAGTTGAGAACCACTGATTTAGAGGAATCCAAGCGAAAAGCGTGGCCTTCACTCAGACCTTTACATCCTTATTACGGAGCATATTAAATCTTCATTCATATTTCATGTCCCTGATGTATCCCATACTTGTTGCCATAGCTACACTCATAAACCCGTAAGAGATCATGATGTCTGTCTGGTCTTGTCTCAGAACCGCATGCACGAGAGCATGAAACTCTTCGACTCCATCTGTAACAACAAGTGGTTCACGCTCACCTCCATTATCCTGTTTCTGAACAAGAAGGACCTGTTTGAGGAGAAGGTGACGCGCAGTCCTCTCACCATCTGCTACCCTGAGTACACAGGTAAAGCCACAAAAGAAAAGAGATGTTTGTTTTATGAAACTTAATGTGTGCAGACGAGACACATCAAAATGGAATATTATGAATTGTACAGATGGTGTTTCTCTGCTCTGCTGTTGTATACACGGGCAAGACAGTTCAAATCATGTTTCAGACAGTATAGTGTTGAGATGCTTCAAAATAATCTCATTTATGCACTAAAAGGATCAATGAGCAAGATTAGAAACGAGACCTTAAAAACCTGGTGGAGCACTTCTTCATACAATTTAAAGAATCTGAAGTAGGCAAGGCAAGGCAAGTTTATTTGTATAGCACAATTCATACACAAGGCAACTCAAAGTGCTGAACAAGATAGCATTAAAATCATAAATAATCACAGAACATTAAAAAGAAAGATAAAAATATAAAATCCCTCAGTTGTATGCACAGCTAAACAGCACAGTTTTTAACTTGGTTTTAAACATAGTCATTGAGGAGGCCTGTCTCACATCTTCAGGAAGAATGTTCCAGATTTTAGCAGCATGAATCTGAAAAGCAGCCTCCCCATGTTTAGTCCTGACTCTGGGCACTAACAGGAGTACAGTCCCTGTGCTCCTCAGAGTCCGGGCTGGTTCATATGGGACTAACATGTCACTAATATATTTTGGTGCGAGGCCATGGAGAGACTTGTACACAAGCAAAGCTGTTTTAAAGTCTATTCTCTGAGCCACAGGAAGCCAGTGCAGAGACCTGAGGACCGGACTAATATGGTCGTACTTCCTGGTTCTAGTCAGGACTCGAGCTGCTGCATTTTGACTGTACTGCAGCTGTTTTACAGCCTGTTTGGACAGACCTGTGAGCAGGCCATTGCAGTAGTCTAACCTACTGGAGACAAATGCATGGATAAGAATCTCCAAGTCTGCTTTAGACACTATGTTTTTGATCCTGGCAATGTTTTTTAGATGGTAAAAAGCTGCTGATGTTACTGATTTGATGTGGCTATTAAAATTTAAGTCTGAGTCCAGTATAGTACATTTGATATAAAGCTGGTGAAAACAAATACTTCATGAATATGCTCAAGATTTGTTTATTTGTTTCTCTCTATTTCTCTCCTGGAAGAAATGTAATTTGGACTGATTTGTCTGCAACCAAAAAAAAAGTTTTATACTATCCATGTAACTATAGTTCCTAATTCTCAAAACGCTTCTGTTCTATTTCTAGTTTTCACATAAATGTATGTTTTGGCTTTTTCAGCCTTTGTAGTGAAAAAGCTCTCTCAGCCCCTCCCAAACTCTGCATCAGTGAAAGAGGCTCCTCTTTAACTGATCATACAACCACTACCAAGAGGAGCAGGCATGTCCATAATTTCCCTTGCAACTGTAAAAAAGAAAGAAAGGAAAAAAAATGAATAAAAGAAGTTGTGTTTGTAGATTTGAATGTTTCCAAACTGGAAATTCCAGCTGGAAATAATGTTTTTTTAGTCTGAGCCTGCGGAGGAAATTAAGATACTGATGTACTGTATCATATTGCTGCATGCATGAAGCAATCAAAATTCAACTTTAAGTGCCAATGTATTTAATATTCCCATAATGGCTTCTAGAGGTACCTGAAGTCACCTGCCTCTCCTTCTCACACATCTTTCATCTAACACTCACACAGAACCTGAAGCCCACCATTGTAATATGATTCAAAGCTCATAAAAACTACTCTTTCATATTACTAATAGAATACTCACTGACTTCATTCTTGTCTTTCTTCTGCTGCAGGGGGACACTCGTATGAAGAGGCGGCAGCGTACATCCAGTGTCAGTTTGAAGACCTGAACAAACGGAAGGACACTAAGGAGATCTACACTCACTTCACCTGCGCCACAGACACCAAGAACGTGCAGTTTGTGTTCGACGCTGTCACTGACGTCATCATTAAGTTCAACCTTCGGGAAATCGGTCTTTACTGATGCAGGCAAGTGTCACTGACAAAGAGGACAAAATAACTTTTTGTTGTTCTCAGGTATAATACGACATGTTGGCCCAATCTTGTGGATGCAGAGCTGTGCATAGGCATAGCTCAGAATAATAATTGTTGCTCTAATCTATTCTAAGTACAAGAAATTACCTATTCATGAACTTTTGACTTTTGAAATAGACAATGCTGATTTGTGGCTACAACATTGTAAGTCTGCCTTCACTGAGAATAACGGGTATGAAGTGGCGGCTGCTCGTGGATGAAATATACCTGTATTTTTGTTCTGGTGTTGATTAAAGTCAATAACAATTAGACTTTGTGATAGAAATTTAACAGAGAACTCCAGGCTCCACATGCTCTTTCAGCAGCAGTCAGAGGTCCTTGTCTCATGCACACAGACAGAGGCTGCTCCTGTTATCGGCTGCTGGAGGCTGTGGCAGAACTGACCTCATGTCTGTCTTTAAATGAACAGAACCTGGGAGTGCGCACCACTGTAGGCCTGTACACACACTGTTCCTTACACACACACACACACACACACACACACACACACACACACACACACACACACACACACACACACACACACACACACACACACACACACACACACCCACACAAACACACACACACACATAAACACCGTACCGGACATACAATCACACTGGTCTGCTTCCACCGCAGCAGCAGACTTCTTGCCTGAATGTAGAAGGACCTGCCTGGTCTGAGGGATCAGGCACATTGGTTCTCAGTAGTCCTGGTCCAATCGCAGATCTGAGAATGTAGAAGATGCCATACATGAATATATTCATGCACTTATGTAGAACGTGCAGAAAAGAAGAGCACTTGTCATTATGTTTGAGAACATTGATGCCTCAGCTACAACCTCTCACAAGATCAGGCCTTAAACCTCAAAGACCATTGAACCTCTAAATGTTGATACTTTGCAAAAGTAACAAAATTGTTGTTTTCATTTTTTATTGTGTAATTTTATTATGTTCTTTTTCTTTTCAGCAATCAGGAGACTGAAAGCCATTTCTGATGAAAGCTGTCTGAAAAGTTGGTACGATAAGGACTCGCCCTGCACTGGGACAGACACAAGGATCTACTGTAGTTCTGGATCCTTCTCCAATGAGCTGGTTTTCACTGAACAGTTTCTGCCTGGAATCCCAAAGTGTAAAAGACATTGGACTGGGGCTCTCATATGTGTTTGGTTATCCTCTGCACCACATTTAAGTGAATAGATTCAATGCACTTGTCTCCCCCTGCCCTTTCATAGTGCTATTTACCTGGATTTGTTGTTTTGGGGCCATAGTTTAGATTTTTCACTTTTTAATTGAATTATTAATTATTTATGTACAGTATGCTTTATGTCCATAGTTTTATTGTGTAGAACAAGATGTTTTGTGTCGTAATTGAACCATATTGTTTTTTTTTAGTTTTTGTTGTTGTTGTGTTTTCTTTACTTGCAAATAAGATTTATGGATTTTTGTCAAGATTGGAGCGGATGGTATGAATCCTATGGATATTTAAAATGAAACTTTATGAGGATGATCTAAACTCATAAATAATAAAATGTCAGTGTTTAGTGAAGGGTGTTTCTATAAACTCACTGGCACTTAAACATGTCAGAGACAATGCTTTGTAAATTCCTTTAAGGGGTGTTTGTCTATACATTAAATAACGCCACAAAACGTTTGCCTGTTTGTGTTATTGCAGTACTTTTGATTCATTTGTAACGTTTTATGTTTTGAGGTTTTTAGATATGGATTTAAGGTCACATGATGTATTGTAAAGTCGTGTTTAATTTTTTACAAAATTGAACAATTTGGTGAAGTTTATAATATTACTTCCTGCCAGGACATGGGCAGCAGAGATGGCAGAGATTCCCTTTGTGTCAATCAATGTAAAATAAATAAATGACTTCATTTTTCAAATCACAAACAATGGAATAATGTAATAAAATCTATTTCTTCATGTTATTGTTGCAAGAATATTTCTGTCAGGACAAAGATGTGTTATTTAAGGTCTTGACATAAGTATTACCTCTGCAAGGTGCCCAAACTTTTGCACTAGATTTATTTTTCCTTTGATATTTGTCGAAAATGTAAAACCTGAAAATACAACTTTATTTTGGTTGGAGACGTCATCTCCTTGCTTTGCTATCCTACTTGATAATCTATATATTGGAGATTGGAAACTGTGTCTCAGATCATATGGCCCTGACCTGTGGAGTACCACAGGGGTCGATCCTGGGACCTCTTCTGTTCAATCTCTACATACTGCTGTTGGATCAGTTAATACGCATAATAAACTATGCAGACGACACTCAGATCTATGTCTCACTGACTGCAGGAGAACATGGACCAGTGGACTCACTCCTTCACTGTATCCAACAGATCAGTGAGTGGATGCAAAACAACTTCCTTCAGCTAAACACTGACAAAACTGAAATGATTGTCTTTGGTCCTCAGAAACAAAGAGAGAGCGTCATCTGTCACCTTCAGTCTCTCTCCCTAAAACCTTCAAACAAGGTCAGAAATCTAGGGGTAATACTACTGCAATGGCCTGCTCACAGGTCTGTCCAAACAGGCTGTAAAACAGCTGCAGTACATTCAAAATGCAGCAGCTCGAGTCCTGACTAGAACCAGGAAGCACGACCACATTAGTCCGGTCCTCAGGTCTCTGCACTGGCTTCCTGTGGCTCAGAGAATAGACTTTAAAACAGCTCTGCTTGTGTACAAGTCTCTCCATGCACCAAAATATACTAGTGACATGTTAGTACCATATGAACCAGCCCAGACTCTGAGGAGCACAGGGACTGGACTCCTGTTCGTGCCCAGAGTCAGGACTAAACATGGGAATTAATTAATTCATGTTCTGTGATTATTTAAGATTTTAGTGCTATCTTGTTTTGTTCAGCACTTTGAGTTCCCTTGTGTATGAATTGTGCTATACAAATAAACTTGCCTTGCCATATAATAGAAAATATTAAATCCAAACTTTCACACCCACTATAGAGTTACATAACAACAAAACCAACAGTAGCCAAAGCCTGTCTAATTCACATAATTATAAATTGACCATAGGAAATTATGCAGCATGTTTATTTTATTACTTAATAAGTATTTCTAATAGAACTAGAATTACTTTTTTTCTTTATTTTTTGCTTCACAATTGCTACTATACTGATGTACAGCTGAAATATGGGCTCATTATGTATGAATGGTTTTAAATGACTATAATGATTTACTCATTCCTTAGTGCTAGTCACACCATCAGTGATTGTTCACATGTGTAGATACTGTATATGTTTGCTTGTTTGTGCTGGTGTGACCACAACCTGCATGAGACTGTATCTGGCCCCAGGCAGTGTCATCTGGATTGTGACCTTTGCTCTGTGAGTTATGAACAGAGAAGCTTAGGAGATAAGTCATGTGCGGTCCGAGGGGGCGAAACCCTGTGACGCTGTTGTGCTGAGTTTACTTGAGAGGAGCTGTTTTTCCATCTGACCCTAAACCGAGCTCTCTCTGCTTACTGCTGCGCACAATGCCTTTATTGTTAATATATTTCTTTAAATTTCCTTTTTAACATTAGAGAAAACATGGACCTTTATCATGGCAAATGAGCTGATTCTCTCCCTCATTGTTTAATCATATCATAGATGGAATTTTTAGATAAACAAAATGTATGCAGATTATTTACTGTTGCACAGCAATCATTTTCTCAAATGTGAGAACAAAATGAACCTGAAGCCATTTGTGTATGAATTATCTGATGGGTCTCAGAATCCTGACCTTGTTTGATATTTGTTAGTATTTACAAAATGACCTCACTTTTGTAAAAGAGTTAATATTACGCAAGGGAAGTGATGCAAAAAGTTTAACATTCAGTTGCAATAGATGTACATGCAACTGTTTTCTCAGGGACCATTCCAGAAGATTAAGGAGGCAGCGGTCTGACTTCCCTCTGTCCACTTTCTGAGGTGTTCCCAGGCCTGGGTCTGAGGTGTTCCAAGGTCTGGGTCTGAGGTGTTCCCAGGCCTGGGTCTGAGGTGTTCCAAGGCCTGGGTCTGAGAGGCCCACAGTATGTTCTGTTCCTCTCAGAGTGGGACATGTCTGGAATACCTCTCCAGGAAGAAGTAAGGTTGTTGAATATGCATCCGAAACTGACCTTTAGCCACCTGAGGCTCCTGTAGATTTGGAAGAGTAGCGGCTCTACTCTGAGCTCCTCCCATGTGATCGAGCTCACTGACTCTATAGATGAGACTTATTTTGACTGCTTGTATCTGCAATCTTTTCCGTTTGGACATTACATTAAAAACGTATAATCAGCAGTGAGGATGGGAACGTATTCGACCAGTAAATCGAGAGCTTTGCCTTTCAACTGTCCCTCTTCACCACAACAGTCCGATACAGCGGCTGTAAGTGTATACCAGTCCTCCTGGACTTGTTAACCCGTCTACTACACTGAAATAATCACACAGACCTGTTGACGTTAATGCATCTTTATTTCAAGCATCTAAATTTCATAAGAAAGGACAAACTTGTCATTTTCATTCCATTTTTAAAACAAAACATTCATCCTCTAATGTTTCCCTCTTTCTTGTATAGATTTGTGAATTATCTTTCAAAATAAAATTCTCTACTTATGTACAAAGATTATTACCATGTCAGATTTAAGATTTAAGTGAAAATACATCAACACTATTGAGGATACATGTACAATGGTTGAGTTGTAAATGTAATCTTATTCTGAGATCTGGGCATATCAGGCGTATTTACAAAGAAACTTTTTACAGCTTTAATATCAAGACCACAAAAACTACTGTACTCAAAAACAAAAAAGAAATGCAATGCTGCTATTCAAATTATCATATCATTCCCCATGTTTTAAGTTTAATTTTATTTATTTTTCTTAAATGATTAATACTCACAACACAGTAGTCAAAGGGAAGCAATGAGGACAGAATATGTCTACATTTTTCGGTTTGTTCAAGCAGCTTTGGGGTCAGTGTCCACAGATGCTGCCGTGTTGGGGCCCAGTGAGATGCTCTCTGCAGCAGGATGTCCAGTTTAGCGATGGAGCAAGAGTTGGCAAGGACAAACCTTCTCACCCCATCAGTACACTTCTCTGTTCATGCCAATATGTGAGGGGCTAAGGACGGTTAGAAACTTCTGCAATTAAAAGAAAAAAATAAATAATGACATGTTAAGGCTGGAGTGCAAAGGCTTTCTGCAAGCATGAGTCATGTCTCATGTCGACAGTACTCACAATGTTCCACTTTCATGGAAAACACATGGTATAATTGCTCTACACCTACAACTACATTACACCAAAATGTAACAAAATGATCAGCTTACTCTTCACAGAATCCTCAACAATAAAGTTGCAGCTAAAAGACTGAATGGTGTGTCCTAGTCTAACCTTTATTGCATTGCAAACTCACAATCATGAAAGCTATGAACAACAATATATCTCTCCCATCCTATTCTCAAAGGATTGAAATGAGGCTCTGATAAATCCATTAATATTTTTCTATTACATCCAGGCGGTCTCCAGGCAACACACCCTCAGATCTGGTCTGGTCTTGTGGTTTTGAAGGGACAGGGCACTATAGCAGTCGCTGGTTCCACTGGGTCTCACCTGGTGTGTCTGTGGGCTGCTCAAAAAAGACCACAGTCTTTGAGGTTTTCTTTGATGATGATGTCTGTCACAGCGTTGAACACAATCTGCACGTTCTTGGTGTCAGTGGCACAGGTCAAGTGGGAGTAGATTTCTTTCACGCCTTTCTTCATGTTCAATTCCTCAAACTGTGCCTTAATGTAGTTGCTGGCGTCTTCGTACGTGTTGGGTCCTGCAGAAATATTATCCACATAAAAGTCAGGGGTAAATAGCAGACTAGAGACTCTTCTGCTGACTGAAGCACAAAGCTTGTATTGTATCAACAAAACTGATCAAATATTATCATATTCATGTAACAAAAAAGTATAAATGTGTGTGTCTTTGCTGTCTCTACAGGCTTACATCTGTACAAATCTGACTCGTGCAAGGATATTGTAGATTCTTTTAATGATTGGATTAAACATAGATAGATACACATATATTTCAAATAATAATTTTGTCATTGTTTTAAATATGTCTTTGTATGATACTGCAGGAGATAGTATTGTTGCTTTAAGATTGAGGTTAAAGTTAAGGTAAACTTTATTGTCCCCATAGTAGGGTTTTATCCTCTGCATCTCTAACCTTTAAGACAACCACCCAAACACATTTTTTGAGTCTTTTACAAATCTTCACATGGAATTGTCGCCAAATGTATCATCACACTCCTACATTTTTGCTCCAGACCACATTTCCTTTATTTAATTTTCGTAGTGGAAGCTCACCTGCTAAGCATCCCTGTACAAAGGCATGCTTGATGAGTCAAAACCACTGAAATGTATTCTCTAAGGTCTTTGACTTGGGTTAGCAAAGCATTATTGTTCTATTCTTAGGTTATAGTAACTGTTCCATCCAAAGAGGCTACTGCGCTCACCATCGTAGTCTGGGAAGCAGATGCTCAGGTGAACCTTCTTGATCTTCTCCTCGAACAGATCCTTCTTGTTGAGGAAAAGCACGATGGAAGTCAGTGCAAAGAATCTGTGGTTGCAAATACTGTTGAATAGATGGAGAGACTCGTGCATGCGGTTCTGCAGAAATGACACTGCTGTTAGTTTCCAGTTTTATGTAAATGTCACATAGTGCGATTGCCAAACTCACCACTTCGTCATCCTCTACCAGCACCATGTCATATGCACTGAGAGCTCCACAGAAGATGATGCAAGTGACACCCTCGAAACAATGGATCCACTTCTTCCTCTCTGATCGCTGACCACCGACATCGAACATCCTGTATTACAAAAAAAATGCACCAATTATGATTCCATTACATTTTGTAAACTCACCAAGATACAATCATCAATAGATTTGATTTACAAGAGTCTGACCCCATAACAACTACAACACGACAGCAACCAACTTTTCTCTACAATTAATTATCCATCGTATTGGATCCAGTCACACAATCAGGGAGGAAACTGGCAACCTTTGAGTAAGCCACTACACTAAAGATAATATTAAAACAGACCTGAAGTGCAACTCTTTGCAGGAAAACTGTTCTTCAATGATACCAGTGGTTTTGACTCGAGATCGCAGCACATCTTGTTCAGTGGGCATGTAGTCTGGTTTGCGGATTCGGTCCAATTCGTTGAGATAGCTGTGGATTTGAGAGAATTTCGTAACTCATCCTAAGGCAAAGTTAGTGTACTCAATATTGCTATGTCTTTTTACTGCACAACAAATATTTATTTAGGTTCAAAAAGCACTGTCTGCTTGTTTTGATTTTGTCTACCGAACTCAACCGCACTAACCAAATAGGACATAATATTAATTCTGGCATAAATGCATTATAAGAATGGTGATGAGAAGGATGCTGAGGTTTGTGCTTATGATAACATTTGCATTATTGTTTTCCCATATCCATAGTTGGATGGACACTCACTATCCAGCGGAGTCGTTCAGTTGGTACTCAGCAGCTCTTTCGAAGCCACTCTGCACCCCAGAGTCGGCCCACAGTTTCTGGATGACATCAGCCAACTCAGCGGGCATTGTTCCTTCTTCAATGGAGTCAGACAAGTTCTGCAGCTTCTGGGCGTCCTCCTGCAGACCCCAACACACATCAGTACAATCAAATAACATTTCAATTGCATTAGAGGCCAAATACTGTATGTCTGGCGTTCATCTGCGATAAGTTTAAATGACCTGTCCAGAGGAGGAGCCAAAGCCGATGTCGAGCATTTCCATGCCTCTGATGATGGCCAGGGCAGACTGCAGGATGTTTCCATAGATGACAGCTCTGAACTCCAACTGCTCCTCTTTTGTGTAACCTCCCTGATGCAAAATCCTGTGCAAAGAGAAGAGAATTGTTATAAAACACTACAACAATTCACAAATCATTTTCTAAACCACAAAAAATAGCTTTGTATAATCATCTAGTTTTCATATGCATCTATGTTTGGCCTCAAACGTTTAGATCAACGTTTACAGATCAAAAAAAAAAAACAACAACTAAAAAACAGGGCAACCCCTACTCAGCTCTCAACCCTCGGTATGCAAATAATTTTCTATAATATAAATACAGCAAATATTATCTGTTATATAATTATTATTGTTTTGAATGACTAATAACTGCTAGTGAATCTGCTCATACAGCCCTCTGGTGGCCGGTTTTGTAATAGCACATGAGATAGCAACAGTGCAGACCAGAGGTGCGGACAGCGGGAGCAGGTCTGTATTACACACGGATCTTATAGATGGATGTCTGAAAAATGAAAAGCAGGAGCGGCTTTGGCCCATGGATCTATAACCGTGAAACGTTCTCCTTCAGGTCTCTGCGATACTGACTCCCCCAACACTTGGACTGACTTACTTCATCTGTTTGACGATTGTGCTCTTCCCTGATTCGCCAGCGCCTGCAAGAAACACAAGGACAAAGGTATGACGTCTCACTTACACTTCTGTGCTTTTGTACAATGTAAAATGTGGGTAAAAGTTTTAAATCAATGTCACTGCTTCACATGCTGTTCGAGATACAGACTGACCCTCCCTTTGTGCAACTTTTATTTATTTTTTTACACATGGTGGCGCACACATTTTAGACTTAGTTTGATATTTTCTAATGATGATAATACTAGGTATAATAATATAATAATACTAGGTCTAAATGTATCATAGTTTGTAGTGTTTAAAAATAGTTTTCTTAATATGTTGCCATTTCTTTAATATGGAAAATGATTAACGAAAACGAAAATCTAGTAAAATAACATGATTGTGGCTTTGTTTTATGAACGTGCTTATGACAAGTTAGAATTGACCGATGACTAAACACTCCTTAGTGTTAAAATTCTACGTTTTATCCCAGTGTGGTCATATTTTTGTTTGTATTATGATTTCTTCCTAGGTGTGAATGATGACATCACAGGAGGGATGCTTCAGTGTTGTAGGGAGTAACTGGGCCAAAAGGTTAACAGAAAATATATTATCGCTGAATATTGATTTTAAGAATGAATTAAACTACAATACACTTTACTTTGTTGGAGTAAATTGTGCCAATCCCTATGACTGACTGCAAATCTCCCTCAAACATTTTGTACATACATTTGACATATATGGTTATCAGTGAAACCCTCGTCCGCTAGAAAAAAGTCCAAATGATGAAATCAAAAACATGCACTTCAAGCAACATTTCCGCCTTTCGCACGGACCCAAACGTCCAGTCACCTGCCCAACTTTTGCTGATTACATTATCCCTACAATGTTTTGTGGGACAAATAGTTTTATTTTAGTTGTACATTATCTATACAGTTATTTTTGAGCAGATAAGATGAAGTCAACCCACTAACGTCACAGACCGGACCAAAGCGGACAGCGCTAAGCCAGACTCATTGTTCAACTCTTTTAAAACTCTTGTTACTGTGAGACTAAATGACACAGCTCAGGCCCCATGAGACCTTCATATTCTCAATTTCATGAGGAATTAGAGCTGTAACAAGTTCATTGATTAATTACTAATCGATTATTGAAAGACAACTAATTAAACAACCCATCTGAGACGTTCTCCAGAGGCATCACTTGAGCTTTGTTTTGATCAAATGTATTTTTCAAAAACATTTTCCCTGACCTTAACAACTATTTGATCAATGAAAATGATAATAAGAAGAAAAAGAAGAATCAGCTTCTTATCAAGGATCACAATATTGTTCATTACAGCTCTTTAATAAACCTACAGAATACAATAACCTGAAACTTGTTTTGTTTTACTCTTAAACAGTCTGTATGTCTCTGGCTGTCACCTGGTGGCTTCACTTTGTCTTTGTCAAACTTATATAAAAAGGTGTAAAGTAACTGATTATTCCAAAGAATAATCGCTTTATTAGTTGATCAAAAGTATTTGTTATTTGCAGCACTATTTATTTGTTTTCAGTTAAATTATTGATTGATCAACAGAATAATCTAGCAAATGTATCTTTTGCAACTTTGTATTCATTATTGTTGAAGAAAATATATATATATAATGTTATTTATAATAATAGTTTGTGCAGAGGAGGGATCAGGACAGAGCTCAGGCAGATCTGCTGTAAACCTGTTATGACTAATTGGATTGACATATCGCTGCTTCGCTGTGATTCATTTAGACCAAAGGCTGTGATCTTTTAAGCACCAATGTCCTTCTATCACAACTATAAAAGTCACTTAAGAAAGTGACAAAAACAAATGTCTAAAAATGCATTCAACTAGTCTATTCTGGTTTTTCTGCATGATACACATTATATTCACTTATATCAATCATATGTACATATGCACTTCTGCTCAGGTAAATCCGACAGGTGCCTCCGTTTCGTTAGAATAAACTTTTCCCAGAGAACCAGCCTCTTCCTGCTGTGACTTAACTTCACTTCTCAGTTAATAAACTAATGCACTGTTTTTGAGATGAATGTTAACTTAATCCTCTGAGCATATCTTTCATCAGGCAGCTGGCCTCAAGCTGGATAAAGGTTCGTCCATGGGTCTCATCCACAATTAAATAATTATTCTTCAAATGCACTGAGAGGCTGTCATTAACTAATAGCCTTCAGTCTGGGGATGTCTGCTTCATCACAGAACTGAAACTCAGTTTGCAACAAACACAACTCTAAAGACGTATGTTAACCATGAACTCCTGAGACCTCTATAAGTATTGATTCAGGTCCAAATCCAGAACCCAAACGGCAGCTTGTTGTTATTGTACCTGAGCCTCTACTCTTCTGCACCTCTCTACTTACCAAGCAGTAAGAGCTTGACGGTTTTTGAGTCCTTGTCTGCATCCTCCTGGAGTTGCTTTTCCAACTCCTTGGATTTTTTATCCTCTGCGCTGGCTCCTGCTCCCATCTCTTCCTCAGCTAACTCGAGGTCCTCGATGAAAGAAATTTTGACTCTGTTGTGTGTCCGAGCTGCTGAGAATCTGGGCGAGGCACTAATCGTCCTCAAAGGCGATTTCCAAGCGGAAGGAGATTGTGAAGGAGGAGCTTGGCTCCTGGGCTTTCAGTTAAGTGATCAGTTATAGTTGCGACCCCCTTTTAATAGTCAATCCAACTCAGCCGACACTCCCTTTTATAATTCCTTGACTTAAAGCTGACTTAAAAAGTTTGTGATTGGACAGCCAAGCTGATTACTCTTTCCAGGCTGATAGTGAGTAATGAACGTCAGACCTGCAGAAGCAGCAGTAGTTGACAGGCCTTTATTGGATTGAAAAGACATTTTCTGATGGAAGCTTAAGTCTGTTTGTGTGTGTATGTCTATAACTTCATATACAGTATATTTAAATTCTTTATATGTACAGTATGTGTGCGTATAACTGAGGAGAGGTTTTGTATGTGAAGTGTTTTTTTTTTCAATTTAACTGCATGATGTGAATATTGTAATTGCTTGAACCGGACCCCAGGAAGAGTAGCTGTCCATTTGGAGACAGCTAATGGGGATCCAAATAAATAAATAAACAAATTGGATTGAGCCACTGATTATTGTTTACATCATGCTATGGGCATAGCTATAACACTCCATAGAAGGTCAAGTGCATTTCAAAGTTATGATGTCAATAATGCAGTCTTGCTAATAAACAGTAAATATTGATAATGTAATAATAATTACCACTTGGCTTTTCAGCACATGGAAGCCGAGATGCAGGCATTAAGGCCTTGTAAACGACTTAGAGCTAAGTCATTTTAATCCAGGTGGTGTCTTTCCTGCTAAATAAAGCCACTGTCACTGCAGCGCTCTCTTCAGAGGGTCTCATCGTTCACCTGACCTAAATGTGTAGTAAAAGTTACATAATGTTAGGATCACTATTAAAGCCATCACACCTGAAGTGATCATTGACATTACACACATCATGTGTGTATGGTTCATACATATGGTTCATACATATGGTTCATACATATGGTTCATACATATGGTTCACACACATGGTTCATACATATGGTTCATACATATGGTTCATACATATGGTTCACACACATGGTTCATACATATGGGTCATACATATGGTTCATACATATGGTTCATACATATGGTTCACACACATGGTTCATACATATGGTTCATACATATGGTTCATACATATGGTTCATACATATGGTTCACACACATGGTTCATACATATGGTTCATACATATGGTTCATACATATGGTTCACACACATGGTTCATACATATGGTTCATACATATGGTTCATACATGGTGCATTGTCTGTGCAGGGGTCCAGTGACATATTGAATATTTTCACTCTTAAAAAAACCACCTGTTCATATTGCACTGTATACAAAAAAAGACTTAGATATAATAGGTAGATATTAATAACAATAGATTGTAACAAAAGCGACTGCTTTCAATATAGTAGATGTTGCTTTCACTAATTTCTTTATTCTAATTTCCAATTAACATTACATTATATTACAAACATCAGCCAGTTATATGTTTTATTTATTTTAATGTTTATGTTTATTTATGTATTATTGATAATTGTTTATTTTAATAGTTTTAATTTAAAGCTGGCAGACTTGTTTATTTGAATGTGTTACTTTAATGTTCAGCACGTTGGACACGTGTTTTATAAAATGTTTTATAAAATGTGCTATATAAATAAAGTGGATTAGATTGGATTGAATATTAACAGCTGTACAAGTTGTTATTTATGGTTAAAAATGGAAAGAGATAATATTTGTAAAGAAATAACTATCTTCAGTTGAAGAGTGCAAAGTGTTCTATGACTTGGTGACTGTCCTTATTCATTCACACCGTGATAAGCTCCTTAGCCACAGCTGCAGACAGACCCTTCTCCGACCACATGAACTGATGCCATTGTAGGACCAGCAGAACTACTGTAATAATTACTACATATTGAAATATCATTCAACACATGTCAGCTGCAAATAAACATATTGTGATATATTCACATCAAAGATTGTTTCAGAATCAGAGGAACAGTGTTCTTCCTGTGTCCAGACAATCCCAGATCTACTTCAGTGACGTCAGGGTCAAATAGGCTCAACGGAGCCTTGCATACAAGATTGACAGACGCAGGGTTCAATTCACAAGGAAACTTGCAAAACTGATTCAGCTCCTACAGCATAATAAAGCATAACGCAGCATTATCCTTTGGTTTTGATCTTTGTGTTGGTTTGGTTTTCTACACTGCCTTCTTTATGTGTTATTTAGAGTTTACCTTTATTAGTCCTGAGGAGTTTGTTTGATTCAGAGGCAAATGCACTCTTCTTTACAACATCACTTATCTGTTTCAAATGGCAGACTGAGGCGACTAGTGGCCCAGGGTGCACTTGCCCTTTAATGTTAGCTCCTTTAAGAAAGCAATGTAAAAATGTATTGTTTTGATTTTCTAAGATTGAGACTAAAGAGAGACCTCAGAGAGACACCAGAGAGAGTGACAAGAGAGAGTGACCAAAGAGTGACCAGAGAGAGACTCAGAGAGAGGCCAGAGAGTGACCAGAGAGAGAGAGACAAGAGACTGAGAGAGACCAGAGAGAGACCAGAGAGAGAGAAAAGAGAGAGAGACCTAAAAACAAAAATATGTTTTTGTTTTTTTTTACTTCCTAACTATTTAGTGATAGGCATTTACCCACTGGTTGAGATGCAGTTTGATGTAAAAGTACCTAAATCCAAGTGATTGAAATTCAACAATGAGGTGGATTTCAATTCCAAGCTTCAAGTAGATTTAGAGACTCAAAGGTGATCCACCAATTGGTTGAGAAAATTATTAACGGGTTAATGCATTCACAGCTATAGAAACAACATGTATTTAAGGAAAACAAATCCTCAATATTCAAGCAAAGACAACCACAACCTACAGATCAGAAGCAGGCTGCAGAATGTAGTAATGTTTGGGCAATCGCATTAGACCTGAGGACGATGTAGACCTGCTCTCCTCCGGCTCTCCTCCGGCTCTCCTGATCCTCCTTTAAAGGGATTACACCACATCCATGGATTACACCCAGAACCATCCAATGAGGACTTAAGACAGGCCACGGCACATATAGGGTTTCACTGTGTTGATAAACATGTTGAGTTTTCTAAGTATACAGTTACTGATACTAACTGTAGAGAATTTCTATTAATTTTTGAGGAATCGATACATATATACTTTATTCCTCCCTGTACGAAACATTCATCTATACAAACAAAACACATACATACATAATTCTAAAAGTCGCAATAAAATGTAACAGCACTATAGGTAAAAGCAGCAACGGTAGTGTTGCATTCCTCCTGTAGATTTACCCTTGATCAGCTTGATTCGGACCGTGAATCCTCTCTGCTCTGGTCTGGATCAGTGTAAAACCATGAACACATTAAGTTGCTATTACTTTAATTGTTCGATCGCCGTCTGAATAAATAAATAAATAAATAACAAATAACACTCTACTGCAGCAACATTTACAGGTAAGAAAAGGCCAGAAAAATAACAAACTGTTTCAGAGCTTGCTGCCGTTTCCAGCGTATTCAACATTTATGCTGCATTATGTGTCCAAGTTTGTGTTTCATAGCCTCAACGTTTTCTCAAACGTTGAGGCTATGAACATTTCTCCACTAGAGGGCGCTAGCTCACTGTCTACCTCAGTTGGGTACAGTCTACTACAAATGTTATTCCCTTTTACCAAAGTTAAGTCAAAGTTTTTTATTTATTTATATATATATATAATATTAATATATTAATATATATATATATATATGTATTTATAATATATATATATATATATATATATATATATATATATATATATATATATATATATATATATATATATATATATATATATATATATATATATATATATATATATATTATATATATATATATATATATATATATATATATATATATATATATATATATATAATATATCAATATATCTAGGCCTTTACTGTACCGGTGAAACTCATCACAGAAAATTTTTATATTTTGAAAATGGACTTAAGCCATAATATTTCCTTGCATGTAATGAGTCTATATCCTATATCGGTTTCATATTTTAAGTTGAATTACAGACATAAATGAAACTGCTTACATTTTGTTAGGTCCATCATCTTTTTTTTTTTTCCTCAAGGCGAATTACGTCAATCTCTGTCAAACTTTATTAAACGGCTTCATGTATTCATCACAACTTTTCTCCTCTTCGCACCTTCAAGATTTGTGGTTGTCATGGCAACAGCGGCAGACACCCACATCTTTAGCATGCTGCATGTGTGTGTGTGTTTACAGTGCGCCTGGCATGATGGGGGAAACTCATAGCCTGGAAAAATCCAGACTCACTGCTGGATAAAAAAATACAGAGGGGAATCATTCTGGTCTCACCAGGCTAGGAAACTCACCCCTCCTCCCTCACCTCCCATGGATCTATCATCGCTCTCCCCTCCAGTGTATCACCGCAGCTGCACAGGGGCTGTTTGAGGGGGCGGGGCCTGTTCCTCTGCAGAGGGATGCAGCCCCACGTTGGAGTGTGGAAGCCTCTACTCTCAGGCACGTACGCTCTCCATCCACACGCCTCTCCTCCTCCATCGCTCCTCTCAGTGTATTTTTGCATCTACTGGGCGGCTGCTTCCTCGGCAGCGTTTGACTCACACATCTCTGTTCTTTGTCGTTTTCAAGAGGCTGTAGTGAACAACACGACCTGGGAACATGTCATCCAGCCTGCCCCCCGGGATGTCCACTGGGGCCAAAAACAAGCCCCTCTCCCCCTTTAAGAAGCGTGGGAGCCTGCAGTACACCACGAGCACAGGTGAGCGAGCAACCGTGTGTGTCATAACAAACTAACACCACAATGTCAACTCTGCTACTTTCTTAGTACATAGTTTATAGTAAAGCTTTGACATTACTTTTTAGGAAGACTTTTCAACGACATAATGTATTTGTTTAAGGTGTGAAACCTGTTGATTGTCTTGAACACATACAGCCCATCTTGAAATTATAAATTGCTTTCGTAACCTTGAGAATTACCAACTATTACAATTATCAAATAAAGGTCAAAAGAAAAATAATACCACTTCATCTGAAAATGCTCCAAGCTTAGCTTTTATAATTAGGTCATTACTGGGCAAAGTATTAAACGATACGGGCAAAGAATGAGATAAGCGATCGTTAATTATTGCTGTCTATCAAGCTTAATTGAATGGGTGTATGGACCATCCTTGTCTTGGAAAATCAATGAAAAACCTTATGCATTCACTCAATGAGTTGCATATTGTATATACATTTAATTAATTTGGGGGCAGCTTGAGATAATGGTTTGTTAAAAAATGCAGTCTGTCATTCTTAATTGAATGAACATAACGCCCAACCCTGGACTTTTACATTTTCAGTTGAGTTGCATAATAGATAACATTGCATATTAAGCAGCATCCAACCATAGCTTCAAAACCCCCACTCACTATGCATGACATATTTCAGCATGAATCAGTCTTTCCTTTTGCTGAGATACAATGATGACAGTGTTTTTATAGCGGCTGGCAGTAAGTCCACGACTCTGGAGCAGAGAGTGTGTAGGTTGGTACCTCAGGACCTGATCCCCGGCTGAATGAAGGGATTAGTCAGCACTGTGATGCATGCTCACCAAACATTTGTCTTTCTCTGAAATACAAAAGACAAAAGGAGGGACAACTCTTTGACGTAGAATAGAATTGTAGTTTATTGCCATTTGTTTTATCTAACATGAAAACAAAACTGTGATTCCCACAACAAGCACACTATAAGATCAGTAAAACATATAACTAATCTTTGGACATAGTTAAAAAACCAGCACCCAGACCACTGTGGCCAGAAACCGATGAAGCAGTCGAGTCATTCTGGCTTTCTAGTTGTAAGGCTGTTGTAATTGTTCCTGACAGATGCGGAAAAGGATGCAGCGAGCTTGTTGTGTCCATTTACTTACAGTACGTTCATGTTGTCTTCTGTTATTTAAGGCCACATGTACACTAGTTTATTCTAGCCAGACAACTGTATGGTGAGATGTATTTACTTCCTGCCTACTCATCAGCTGATCATGATGGCAGTGAAAGCGTGATAGTTCTGCAGATGGCTCGCAGTTAGCAGTGAAAACACGTCAAAGTAAATACATACTAAGAAACTCCACTAATCTGGTTGTACAGGACTCATTTCATCTGCACATCCCAGGGAAAATATGCTGTTCCAGACAAAGAGATTATGGTTTGTAAAACTGTGTGAAGTACACTGTTTTCAAAAGACATAACCCATTACAGAACATGACTCATGGCTGTAAAAGTGTTAAATTATTCAGTTCTTGGTGGTTGTAAGCTAGACCTGTGAGCCATTACTTGCAGCTAAATCAATAGTTACATAATCCATCTTTCTTGGTCTAAAACTGTGACTGAGAGCCATTGTTGAGGCAGTGATTGCAGAAGCTACAATTCGATTTTCTGCTGGCTTCCCCATTATCAGAGCACTGATTGCACCGATTTGGTACTTGGAGAAAAAAGTGGTTATTACCAAAGTCACTCCAGAGTTGCATCTTGTGACTGGTCCATGTCAAACACAGACACAAGTCCCTAAAAAAGCTAAATGGCTCCAGATAACCTTGTTGCGTCTGAGAAGCTTTTAACGACAGAGGTATACAACAATGATGATCCACACAGTTATAAAATGCATGAAAAATAAAATAGTGAGAATATCTTGTGAATAGCACTATGTATATAATTGTATCATTATAACAGCTTCCCCTGCAAATAATAATAAATGAACGAACAGACTGATTTTCTCAATTACCTCCCCTGCTCGATCGCTGGCTCACACTTTAATTTCAGGGCAGAACATGGCTCCAGCAGCTCGCGCCTGTTTGGTTGTTTTAATAACCACATCTTAGTCTAATGAGCCTTGTGCCAGTCACAGAGGCAGGAGAGACATGGCTGTGTGAGTTCCCCATTTCATATGTTATTCACACTCAAAGCACTCATTTAATACCTTTGTCAATCTGCTTTCTGCTCTTTTTACAGTTTTCTAGAATGTCCATATTTGACAGATGTCAGTGCAGTTTTTGTGGAATTGGATTAAGTTGCAGATGAATTGGTGTGAAAAGGAGAGTTCTGATATAAGAGGACACACTGAGCTGCAGTCCGCTCAGAGCTCTGCCTTGCTGTTTCTGTTCTCCTTGTACTTTAGGAAATATAATGTCGGAAAGATAACCTTTTATTACTTGTTCTGGAACAAGAAATGGCTCCTGATTTCATTGAGATCTGACCATTCATAAATATTTAAGGCACTGATACTGCTATTTAATTCAGCTTTGACCTTTTGTCCACTCCTATATATTCTAAATTCACCTGGAGACATATATGGAATTGAATACGTCTAATGTTACTTTGCTTTTCTCTTTGGAGATGTTCTTTTCATCTAAAGTGTTTATTAAATGCAGGGTTTTTTATTGCATCGTCACGTTGCCACAGATCAAACTTTCTTGTGTCGTTTAATGAAATACTAAAAGCAAATTCTTTATATATTTCCCCCGGCTCCCAGTTTTGGAACCGGATAGATTTGTAAAAGCTCTCCATAGTCTGTCATTGTCTTTTTCTGATTTTACTTTGTCAGTGCATTGAGTTTCATCTTTGAAAAGATGATTTAATTATTCAGAGAGTTGGCTTTGGCGCCTGTGGCCTTTTTTTCCGGTTGTGTTTTTGCACACAGCTGCTGATTTTACTGTATAACGGTTATAAACAGACAACAAAGCCTTTGTCAAACCTCTGTCAAAAGGAGCAGTTTTGTCATTACTTAGACATTTAATGAAAATCCTGTGGAATTGCCATTATGAACAGACGTATGGCTCAGTATTGGTGAAACTACATCCCATAATGCCCAAGATCTCCAATAACAACTGCAGCAGTTAATGTCGTACACTGTGGAAAATTGGACATATACTTGTTACATGGTTTTCTATGTTTTCATAGATTTCATTCCTTTGTCAGTGCGGCCTCTGGTGAGGACACTGCAGGTTGTATTTTTCACACCTCACATTGTAAACAACAACAGTCCACAGTAATGTGGAACTAGCCTCAACCACTTCTGAGGTGCAGCTTTGAGTGTTTTTCCTTCAGTTTAGATTAGAATAAATATGCAAAATAAACCACTCCAGGGCTCTGACTATGCATTCATGGCTACCTACAGGAAAAACAACACAAAATACGATTAACAAGAGTTTACGTTAGGAAATAATCAAATTAAATTAATTTGATAAGAAAAAAAGGTCCCGCTTTTCTTCCTTGTTTTTCTAAACCATTGTGTAACAGCTACAACTCTTACAACACCAAATTATCGCCTCTCTTTTGTTGGAGAGTGATTGTTTCCATGGTGACAGTTTTCAATTCAGATTTAGCCAGAGGATGAAATTCATTTACAGTTTTCTCCAACTTTAATTATGTTCATTACCGAAACCTAAAACAAAAAACAGTCTGAGCTCTGACATTAAGACCTTGTTGGACCAAAGGATATTGAGCGAGGGAAATGACACGCCCTATGGAGAGGGCATGACTGGTTTTAGAAAGGTCTGGAAACTGACAATTATTGTGACGATGGATCAGCTGGTCCAAAATATGTGTGATTTTAAAAAGAATCATTACCAAAATAACGATTCTAAAGTACAAAATATATGTAATCTTTATCTGAACATGTAAAGGACCACATAAGACCACATTGCTTTTATTTTGTGTTGATAATGAAATATATAGTTCAATATAATCACTATCAAAATAAAACAGCACGAATATGTGAAGGGGTGTTGAGGAGTAAATACAGTAATAAGAAAACATTAATGCTGTCAGTGTTGTGTCCCACCTCCAGCTCATATGTATAAAAATGTTAATTAGATTGTGCTGGCAGAGTCTGGATAAGACAAATGTCCTTTATAAAAAAAAAAAAATTGTTTTCAAAACATTTTAAAAAGTATGTAGGGGGAGAACAGATGAGCTAGCGGAAGATTTTGTTATGTATTGTTTTTATAAAAAGGGAAATTATTTGATAAATTATTGAATACATTATTTATAGCTACCTTTTTTCTTAATACACACTGTATCATACATAATACAGTGTGTTTGTCTCGATGGAAAGAGTCATAAAAGTAAAAAGTTGTGAACAAATGCTGTCTTTATCTTATTGTAAGAAAGAGCCAGGTGAGTCATTATTTGGCGCTTTGGGCTGAGAGCTGATTAAAGCTGATTTGTTTGTCTGAAAAGGCTGATCTAAAGAGGCCAAAAATACATGCAAGTAGAAATTGGATCAAACCAACTGCTTTGAGAGTAAGGAACTATGGATTTTATGACATATATTTAACACTTATTTGCTGTTGACATTTTTACAACTTTTGCGGCAGACCCTTTTGATCAATTGACTGGATCACAAATCAATTATTTTACTTCTTTTGTTCGATATTACAGTAAAAACAAGGCGCAAACTAAAAACAAATTCAGCTGCTTCAGTCAAAATGTTATTTCAGCAGACAATTTATTTTGTGTTTTATGGTATTTTTACACTCATTTTGCTTGTGCTGGCTCTCGTCACTACTACACTGGGACATTTCCAGCCCAGTCTGGTTTGATTATGCAACTGTGGACGACCCTTTGAACAGTCTGTCACACCTTGTCACTGTTGCCTGTCCCACTTACTCTCTGTCAAATGCACTTGTAATGAGCGGACGTGAGTGTGGCTGGTTAAATGTTAAGCCCAGTCACTCCTGGTTATGATGAAATCTGCTGACTTATCTTACTAATTGAATGTAAT